AAGTGCAGTTTTAAGAGACACTTAGATACAATAAACACAAGTATAACAATTTTTATAAAATGATAATTAAAATCTCATCCATGTTTATATAACTAGACTAAGAACATTTAAACATTAATTTTTAAAGCTAAATTGTCCTTGAAATATTTTTTTACAACATTTTAATTCCCAAAATGGGTTATTTTAAGACCATGTTGTTTTCTTTCTTTTTGGCAACTGTTGCTACAACAATGAATATTTTAACAAAAAAATAAAATGTATTAATATTTAAACATATTTTTGTCATTTGGTATAAAATTCTATCTTACCGAACTTTGTCCTAAGGTTAGGACTGTAAAATATCCTGAATAGTTGAAATTGAATGCAGGATAAAATAGGTTATATAAAACAATAAATGTTTATTAAAAACAGATTTTTCAGAAAAAAAGCTATCAGAATGTCTCAAAACTACATTTTCAATTCATCAATCTTTTTATGCCTTAGCTTTAACATCTGATATTAGCAAATAATTGACTAACATAATCTCTCTCCTCCTCCCCCACTCTCTTATGTAAATCTTTACAGGATGGAGAATCTCTGGTGCTAGAACCGTGTAGAAAAACTGTTACATGTGAGAATGGCCTCTCTTTTGAGAAGGTCCTGCAGCCATGCTCAGAAAATGCAGAGTGCTTAAATGGTGGCCTGATGTGTGTTTGTAGACAAGGATTTAAAGGAAATGGAACATATTGTAATTAATTTTTTTTTACAATAACTTTTTGGAATTTGTGACCTGCATATCATTTTATGGATCAAATAATTGTAAATTAGATTGGTATCAAAACCCACAGATGCAGTTTTTAGCTTAATTTTAAGTAGTTTATATTTAATTTTTGCACAAATACCAAAATCAATCTTCAGGTTCTAATTTCACAGACAATTTAAAAGAACCACAATTATTAACTCTTACTTGATATTCTCTTAAAGTAAATGTATTGAATGTCAATGGAAACAATTAACAAATAATTTACCTTTTATTAAGATCCACTGTTTAAATAGAGTTTATAAACAATGTGTTTACAAAGGATTCTTGAAGAAATTATAAACATACATTTTTTTACAACTAAAAATTATGGAGAAAAAAGGTTTAAAACACATTCAAAGTGTAGAATCTTTTAAAATGATTTTTGTTTTGTTTTTTTGTTTCTTAAAATTATTTGCTTGTAATCCAGGTGTAAATGACATAAGTTGCAGAGAGGGCTACACAGCATTTGGAGCCAAGTGCTATAAATTGGTTCGTGACAAGCTTGAATGGCACAAAGCTGCCATTAACTGTGGGGCTGATGGAGCTCACCTGGCCAGGTACAATATTTATTAATTTTTCGTTCTATTTACTTTAATTTTTAATAATAAAATTATTTTTTTCATCTAGTGATATAAAAACTTTAGAAAGACCCATATTTTAAAAGTTAAATTATATTGTGTTGCCAATGGCACAAGGACTTAATATATTCACATAAAACAACATTTAGCCTTCAATTTTAGTACCTAACTACTTCACAAAATGCGATCATCATTTTTTGAAATTTTATTTACTTTAAGATATGACACAGATCAGGATGAAGCTCTTGCTGTATTTATAAAGAAAATTCTTGAAATTTACCTTAATTCAACAGGTTTGCCTTTTAAGCCTTGCTATTTTATTTAGTAACTATATTGATAATATCTTTTTTACATTTTTACTTATTTATAATTGAGAATAATTTCAAATCAATAACTATGTGCTAGTCTAATCTTGTGATTTATATTTCTGATTTGAATAATGATGAGCTTTGATATTATAATAAAATAATTATCTCAATGAATTGTGTTATTTTTTGTGTGTTTTTTTTAAACTAATGAACATTTCTAACAACTTTATTCTTCATCCTGCAAATATTTTAAATAAGTTTTGAGAAATATAATTTCAATAACTTGCCATGCTAGTCTGCATTCAAATTTTACAGTTATTTTAAAAAAAATGTTTTTATCAATAATTACAGCAACTTCACGCAATATCAAGTGTGGAGAACGTAGCAATTGCCAACTTCCAAAAAATCAAGCTGCCATAAGTGCTAGAGTCAAAGATTCAGGTTTTGCCAGAGATTGTGAAGGCAAATTTAAAATATCAGATGACAGATTTACATTGACTGTGACTGCGGGATGCAGGGCCAAAAACTTCATTGTAGAAACTGTGGATGGTAAGTTGGTTGAAAATAAAATGAGCATGTCATATTTAAAAAAAACCACCATGCTACAAAGTTACATAGATTTTTTAAAAAATGAACATTGACTTTTATTGAATCCTTATTCAATTATGTGTAGAAGATTTATAATTTATGGCAAAGACTTTTGCAATTGAAGAGGTTATTTATTTTTTTTCCCCCTGGCATCTGTCTGTTGCAATGTGACAATAGTATAGGCAAGGTCTACAAGGCCTGGGATTATTCTTTATAGTTCCCCGTTCAGCAAACCGCCTCTCTCCATGCCTCTAGAAACCCAAGGGAATATCATGTGGATGATACAGCTTGGCATCGCATAAGTTGTTGGAATGTTTCATACCAATGTTATCCACCTAAGGGACTCCATCTCCTGTTTTGAATTCAGAGTTTCTTTCTGTTAGATGAGTTTCCGTCCAAGGTTAACACGTCCCACCCGCACGGGGTGCTGGTGATGATTTTCGTTTGACTTGGCTTTGACAGGGGGGGGTGGGGGGAGGTTGAACTCCAGACCATGAACTTGAGATTGGCTCAGTTTAGACCACTCGGCCACCCTGCACCCACTGAGTTTCAATGGTAACAAAAAAGGATAGCTGGATAGCTCTTATAATATTAAAATCTTAATTTTGACAAGCTCTATACCAGTGGTTCTCAACGTCACATGTAGCTGGAGAAGAACTCATTGTTCAAACCAAGTGATATATTACAATGATTCCTCTAAGCAAGAGTTGAGGACAATGTTGTCTAGATAAGAATAATGAGCATATGGAAGATGATTTGCACACATATTAAAGTCAACAGAGTTTACGTTTCAAAGGGATAAAAAAAAAACTTTGCCGGGAAATGAAATTTTTGCTTCTCACTAAACAAACATTTTGTAAAACTTGACAGTTTGATTATTATAAGTCTACATCATGTGTCTGTTTTTAAATAACAAGCAATTTTTGAACACCATAAAATTTTGAAAAATTTCAGCTCATTTGCTTGGAAAAAAATTCAAAAAAAATGTAAGATAAGTAAGTGAGTTGTGGGGGAGGAAAAAAAACTGAATTTCGCTGTGAGTGATTAGAATATTATTTTAATATTCTGAAATGTAAAATGTCATGATAAAATAATGGCATCACTAAAAATAACAAGCAATATCATCTCATTTTGAAGATCCAATGGAATTCATAGAATCAAGAAAATGAAGTCGTAAAATATGAAAGATTTTATTTAAACTTTTCTGAATAAAAATTAAATAAAATTATGATTAACATATGTGTTCATTTGTCATTCCATGCAGCAAAATATTATTTCCTACCCCAGTCTCTCAGTAAGTATTAAAATGTGATTGTTTTCATATAAAATTTGGCAAATTTTTTCTTAAAATATTTAAGACACTTTATAAAAACATGGGAAATAACTTGAGGATTTTGAGCTACATAAGGCCAATAATTAAATTGGAAATTGCATTCACTTTCTTCCAACAATGTTTGTTTAGCTACGTGGATTGGAGGATGCACTCAAGTACTAGGGCCCAACAAGAGAAATGGCAGGATACCCTTTCAAGTTGATCCCCCGAGACGAATTGACCTGTCAACTTTACAAAATTCTGTCGGCTGCTTCCAAGCAAACTTTAACGCAGCCTCTCGTTTTGCTGCCAGTCCTAATCCTGACTGCAAAGCTCAGCTTCCATCCATTTGTGAATATGGTGAGATATCATATTTGATATATATTATGTGGATATAATGTAAAAAAATAAATTTTTAAATCCTGGTAGAACTTCTAAAAAATATTGATGCAACATTTTGCTCATGATCTTAAAGATAAATGAATTTTTATGAAATTGTTTGAGGAAGACTGCAATCAGGTTGAGGAATATATGTTTTGGCTTCTCTTCTTTCAAGTTGTCCCTTACCCTGTTTTTGTATTTCCTATCAATAATTTAAAACGCAATGAAAAAAGAAACCTTAACATATTTTTGATGTCTAATATGTTTATGGCACAGTGAATTCCCTTTTGTAAGTTTTATCCTCCTTTGCAAACGATTTTTAAAAATATTTTACAAAATAAAAAATTAGAATGGAGGGGAAAATATTATTTGAGGGAAAAACACTAGTTTTTTAAAAAAAAATAAATAATTAAAAATTTAACTTATCATCAAATTTTGTTGAACTTGAATGAAAATTGATTGATAGCATATGAATAATCAAGCCGATGCAAAACATTCCAATACATTTTTACATGTGACATTGTTTGTTTTCAGATAACACAAAACAAAACAGCCGTGGTAAGATACTTCTTTATGTTAATATCTAAAACCATTGAGGGAGATAACAATGATTTACAAATTCTGGGTTATGATATGACAAGATGGCTGTTGGTAATATAGGAAAGGACAGAAACAGCAATTGCAAAATTTGTGTTCTAAACATTGTAGGACTATATAATGTTCCCACTAGCTTTTTAACAAGATATAATTTTAAAAAATTAAGTTCATAAATATTATAACACAAGAGTATTAAACATTGTATGAAATTTTGAACATTTGTAAAAAAAAAATAAAAAAAAATAAAGAATATTTCTTTCTCTTTTAAAAATGAATGTAAAAGCATTATAATATTTATAAGCTAAAATGCATTTTACTACAACATTATTTGCATCAACATTTCTTTATTTTTTTACAACCAAATTTATTTCAACATTTCTCTGTCATGTAGCTAGAAATGTTTATATGCTTTGCATTATAATCTTTTTTTTTTTAAATGCCTTGTACAATCACAGATCCCAATGACTTTAAGGGGATCCCTAGAAAGTGCAACCATCAAGAAGCCATAGATGCATGCGCCCTACTTGGAAGACCATTGGCCAAAATAATAAACAAAGACCAGCTAGCTAAAGCTCAATCCATTTTGTCAATGCTTGGGTAAAAAGTGTTTTACATGTTTACCACACAGTTTTTAAAATCTCAGCATTTACCAAATCTAAGTGATCACTAATTGAGTCATTATTGTCACTAAGGGAGTTCATGGATAGTTGACCTCTGTGCTAGAAAAATAATTTAGATGTCTTATGTTTAAATTGTTATATTTGTAAAATGTCGTCTTGGTTAAAATATGTTATTATTTTTGATGTGATGAAAATTTAATATGTAGAATGTATTCAAAAAACATTTCCATTTATTTGGATCAATAAAATAACCTTATGTTGTCTTCAACTAACGATGAAGATTTACATCGGCCTGAAATTAATAAACTTTTTTTTTATTATATTATTTAATATTTAACTTCTTCTTTTACTTAAGCAGAACTGCCTCTGACCTAATCTTTATGTCTTATTTGCTTTAATATTTAATAGATGAAATTTTTAATGGTTGCCTGATTAGTTTTAAGCCTTATTGAGATGCTCTGCAATAAATAATATTCATAAATCATTCTCTGACCTTTTAAATCCATTAAAAGGCTAAAAATTTAACATTTTCAAAATATATTTTAAAACTTGGAACAACCAATATTGTCATTTAAATGTTCCTTTCTGCCCCAAAAGGACAAGTCTTTAATGAATTTAGTCAATATGTATCTATTTCCCAGTGATGATGGATGGCTGTCACTCCGATGGAAAAGAGAAGACAATGACTACTTGTGGCCAGATGGTCAAAAATTGACATCCAGCTTCTCAAATTTCCCAGAACTACCCCAGGTATAGGATTATCTAATATTTTGAATTTCAGCCAATGTTCAATAATATTTTTCTTAAATGTTGTCCCCTCGCACAATTTAGAATTTATCTTCCTTGTACACTAAACCATTTCGTGTGCATAAGTTGAAAGCAGTAAACCTACTTGCAGCATAAGTTATACAATCAACATAAATACAGTTTTTTTTAGTTTACTCATTTTTAAACTTAAAGGAATGGCAGCTTTCATTGAGCTACATAATTATGAAGACTCTTTATTAAAAATGTTCATTATGTTAAAGTTAGTCCTATATAAATTAAAATTCCGTTATTTGTGAATTACTTCCATTGCTTGTTATTTAAACCCCCTATAATTTTCAAAATGTAGCATTTATCCTGAATTCAAAAAAAAAAAATGTGTGGTTTGCTGACATGCTTGTAATCATGTTTGTCCACATTGTCCACAGGCCAATGTCAACAGTAGGGAATACCACTGCGCATCCATCAACAAGAAGACTGGCTACTGGTACACTGAGGGATGTGAGGAGTTATTTTTCCCCCTCTGTGGACCACCAGGTAATTTAGTCCATCAATTACATGTCCTTGTTCCCAGGGGGCAAGACCACTGCACTTTTTATAAATCCCAGGATGTGACTATATGCTTTGATTATTTTTTTTAGAGACTGCTAAGAAAGTATTTTTCCACGCATGGGACAATTAGAATTAAACGATTAAATCTCAGCACAGTACACATAGATCTTAAAACCCATGGCATTAAATAAAGTTTATGTTTCATTATAGCTGTCATGCTAATTACCAGTTCCTACACGTCACCTAATATTGTCGTTTTTAAATGAAAACATACAATAATATCAAGCAGCAAATTTTCAATATTAACTCTTGGTGCCTTATGAATGCCTACTTCGTTCTATGCTGAAATTCATTGCTTGATCAGTTACTAGAATTTAATTTGTATTGCTGCAGTGGAAAGTACACCTACTATATACAGTCCCTTCTATCCTGTGGATGGATTCTCTTCTCTGTCTGAGCTGAGGCAGAAACTTCAGAGACAAGGAACACAGGTGATGGCCATAGTTTGTAAGATGGATTAAATGTGGCATTTTCAACATATCAAGACTGAGGAAGGTTCTATATATTGTTCTAATAATGCTATACAAGAGATTTAATTGTATGTAGCCATAGAGCTAGAGCATTATAAGGGTCATTGAATAATCCATATGGTATTGAAAGCAGTTTTAAACCTAAATGAACTAAAAAATAAATTTAAATGGTCAACTGCCCATGCATTTATCACAACTCTTAGCTCAACTCTCTTTATGCATGCATTCCTCGCCACCCAATAGCATTTGTTAAGTGGGTTTCAGCTCTTTGTAATGGAAATAATTGAAAAGGATGTGTAAGAATTTAAGTGCCATCTTTTGTGATTACCATAACTGTTGCATAGAATATCTGACTCCATCACTGGAGACTTTGTCCATGGGAGTTCAAAGGGGGTCGACCAATCCTGATGTGAGTCTTAAGATATAGGAAGATCAAAGAGCAGGATTCAATGTTTATCTTAACTTTTGACTATTTTACTAATAGTTTTTAGGACACATCCCCCCCAAAAACACACACACACAGACACACATACTTTGTCTCATTTATGTAATATTGAAAAATAAGTTTAAAAAATTTAATCAACACCACCTAAAAAAAATGTCCACAGAGCTATATATGCCCTAATCAACACCAACTAAAAAAATGTTCACAGAGCTATATTTCCCCTAATCAACACCAACTAAAAAAATGTTCACAGAGCTATATATCCCCTAATCAACACCATCTAAAAAAATGTTCACAGAGCTATATATGCCCAAACCCTGTTGAGATTGAATGCAGTGCTGTTACCAAATTCGGCCAGTGGGTCACAAACCGTGACCAGCAGGGCACCACCATCACATGCAGATCAGATTCTATCAAGTGTGTGTCAGGTCAGGAACTGGACTGTACATGTTTCCGTGTGCGATTCTTGTGTCCTCAGGGTAAGTTCAGTGCACTCATTTTTTTTTTGCTGTCATTTAAGGTAATCCCCACTTTTAAGTTAATGAAGATCTGTAACCTCTAATTTTTCATTACCGAAAGACCTGCGTGGTGTTACACCCAGTGAAGGAAAGCAAAGCAGAGAGGATGCCATTAATTCACATTGGCTTTGCTGATTCTGTCTCTCTTTCTCTTTTGTTGAGATCTTATTTTTTAGAGTAATAATAATTATACATAAGTTCATTTACTTCCTGTAACCTTGGTTTTGCAAAATCCAACTTCTGTCAATAACAATGGCGATCACTTGAGTTTTTGACTAGTTCTTATTTCTTGTCCCATTTTCAGTTGTCCTTTCTGCTGAGGAAGGCTCTTATCTTTTGTCCTGTCTTTTAATTCAAGCTTCCACATACCTGAACTATACTATTTCCTTCATTCGGCTTCAATGCAGTCCTTTATTCATTAACACTATCTTCTAGATGGTAACCAATGTGATGAACTTCTAGCACTGAGTGTAAACCCTTGTGATGGAGGCAGAGTCTGTTTCCCCATCAGCAACCACTACGTCTGCCAGTGCCCACCTGGATCTCTTTACAATGAGCATGCACAGACCTGCTCCTGTAAGTATAACCTCGGATAAGTCTAGTGAGATAGGTCAGGTTAGTTAGAGACATATTTGTGCACCACAATGGGCGGGATTTGGCATTACAACCTAAGGGCAGTAGGTTCATATTTGTCCAGGATTATCCCCAGCTAGGGCTCCCAGTTTTCTTTTGAATGAAGGAAATCTCCTTTTTAAACAAATTCAGTTATGTTGAAGTTTTGTGTAGGACTAGAAATTTTCCAATACACAAAGTTAAAAAGATCTTTCAGAAGTGTCCCCTCAACCCACCCACCTCCCAAAATAAAAAAAATAATAAAAGAGGCAGCTATTCATTGGTATTTTGTTAACAGAAAGCCAATAGTAAATGAATATTCTTGCACAAGTGACCTGAACATTTTTGTTTGTTCAAGTCTCTGATTATTTGTGTAATTTGAGCTGATAGATCTAAATATTTTAAAATTGATTGTGCGATGATGAGTTGAATGATTCATCTCACCATGTAATATTAACTAAACAGCCGTTAAAGATCAGTGTAAGACTTGACTTGTTTCCCGGGTCAGAATGAGCAGTTGTCTTTGAATTTTTGCAGTTGTTGATGATCTTATTGCTATTTTTTGTTGTTTCATAGCATTTTGTGGTGAATGCTCAGCTTGGGGTGACCCTCACTACACGACATTCTCTGGCAAAAAATACAACTTCATGGGAACTTGCAAGTATGTTTCCCTTATGATTATTTGCTGGTGCAGGAGTTATTTTCTTTTTACCTTTGACCCTTATAGCCAGTCACACCTTTGTGAAGTCAAGGTGATCCCTGAATATTAAAATGTTAGGCCAAGAATATTAATTTTAGAAATGATATTTATCTTGCAGAAACAATGACACATAACTATGGAGGGTCTTTTGTACCCAGCTTAAAGATTCCCTGTTGTAGGATCTGAATTATGTTAATGTAGAAAGATATGAAATATTCATCATAAAATCCTTATTTCCATATCAATATGGGACCAGCTTTTCAGTAGCATAGGTGAAATAAATAACAAATTTAAAATTGACAACTATGCCTTAAAGATCTATCCTGTGTCCCCATGCAAAGAAATTTTTTTTAACTAACTGATCCTGGCTGTTTCTTGGTCTTTCCATCAGATACAAATTCACTGGAATTTGCAATCTTGATCAGTTTGGAACAGCACCAAGCTTTGATGTCCTCACCAAGAACTCTCCTTGTGGCAGTACAGGAGCCTCCTGCATCAGTGGGCTTGAAGTGCAGCTCAGGAATATCCCAGTGGTTAGAAATGGTGCAGAAATCAGGGAAAATTTCAATTTTTTGGTTGCTGTTGGAGCTTCAAGTTATAAGGTAAGCCACTCATTATTCCCATAATTTAATTATTATACTTGAGCCCTGCAAAGTTTCAAAAATATATAAAATATTTTATGAGGCATTATGAGGTCCTAATGAAGAAAATACCAAAGTAAAACTGTTGTTCAGAAGTTAAATAAGGTATGATTCTTTTATTGATCCTAATAAATGATTTTTTTTTTTGAATACAGTCTACATATTCATTTTCTGCCCTTAACCAATATTTTTAAACTAGAACCTTTTAAATACAAGACATCTAAATTGTTTATCAAGCCCAAAAATCATCTGTCATATTATTATAACACAGAAATTCCCTCCATTAGTGATAATAAGTAAATATTTATGAGTGATTATTTAGATTTTGCAGCGGGGTTTTGGGGGGAGCACAGTGGAAAATTCTGACAGATTGGGTAACAAAGATTTTTTTTTACAACTTTGGGTCCTGTAGTTACCATGAAAATATAAAAATAATCAAATAACCTTTTCTATTTTTACAGCTCAATGATATGGTGATCTTCCAAATGGAGTATAGCATTAAGGGTGTTTTCACCACCATTGTCAAGTCTGGGTACTTTGAGCTGAGTGTCTATCCTCTTGACCTGAATGTGCTCCTTAGTGGCAGCAAGCTTAAAGTACAAATCCCAGGTAATAAATAGGACCAGTATTCAAATGAAGATAATTATTAAAATTGAACTATGATCCCATGGTTTGTTTTGGGCAAATTTTATTTTTGAAAATTAGTGACCTATTAGGACTTTAATATTGTACCCAACAAAAGGGTGTGCACTCCTGCTTTTCATTTTCTCATTTTTTTTGTTATTTTTATGTTGATAAACAATTCCAAGGATTCTCACCCATTCTAAAAATGAAAAAAAATAACAACAGGCAACAAATTAAATTGTAATGAAATGTTTCAATACATACATGATGATAATAAGAAGAAATGGTGTGCCTTAATGTAATGTAGTTTAATATCATTTTTTTGACAAGCTCACTAGAGGGGCCATACAACTTTCTGTGTAAAAACTATTCTGGTTATACTCCGAAAATTGAAACAGATACATGTTTTTGTTCTTGTTTTACAATGAGCACGGATTGACAAACCTCTAATCTAGAGTAAAGTCATAAGCTCCATGTCATAATCATTAATTTTTTAAATTACAAAATGGAGAAGAATACTGTTCCAACTGCATTTTTATTATGCTTTCAAGAAGTTGTTGCACAGACTCAGATGAAGAATCGGTGATCAAGTGGTAAAGAAAAATAAGAAACTCTGTCAACAGTGATCATTCCCTACCATTATCTTCACCAGGACAATTCAAAAACAAAATGTGTGGCCTTTGTGGTGACTGTGGCACAGACTTGTTTAAGCTGCGTAATGGCTCCTCCATCAGTGTGCCTGCCCGCAATCTAGACTGGGACAGCAAAGTCATGGCAGTGTTGGCCTCGGACTGGAAGGTCTTTGACCCAGCATCCAGCTCCGCTGAGTAAGCTTTACAGTTTAAGATAATTGGTTCAGTGGAGAAAGTATACTTAAATACTGTTCATTCTCTAAGCATGAAATACCTAGTGATAAATGATTTTTGTTAGTTTTTTTTTATGCCCTTCTAAGAAATACCAAGGTTGTGTTAAATAGGCGTTGAAAATTAATCATAGCCGAATCATAAGTGCCAAAAATCAAGGTACGTTGAACCTCTGGGAACACCAGCCTGAACTTACTTCTGTGTTAATCTAGATAAATATCATGGGGTTAGAAGGTTAAAATGGAAAAAACACCACAAAGAAAGCTAGATCAATATAGTAACTACTAGTTTTGAACCCTTTATGACTTGTGAATCAGACAAATAGTCCAGACAGCTAATTGTTGTATTATATTGATTGTTTTTTTTTATTCACACAAATAATAATAATAAAGTTCATTTCAAAAACACGCTTCATCCCCAAAGGCTCGAAGCGCGGTACAAAGTCAACAAAAAACAAATCTATTATTTACCACATTTAAAACAAATTGAGATTCCGCAGTTGTAAAAATTATAATGGTAATAAGAAATTAGAACATTTAACTATAAACATGACCTAAAAATTTGGAATTTCTCATTGTAGAATTTATTTCCTACATGTAAGTCTTAATTTTCTCAAAATTATTATTCCTTGATTTATTATAGCTTCATTATTCTTGTATTCTTTCTGACAATTTTAAAATGTTCACAAAAGAAGGTTAAGCTATTTTGATGATAAATTCACCTCCAGCTGTCAAGTACCTGTTGTTTTACCTGATGATAACTGCCCAGAGATCAAACGAGTGGAGCTTGCCAAGTCCAATCTGTGTGGAGTGTTTCTGGACAATTCCAGCTCTATCCAAGAGTGCTTTGCCAGGGTAGGTCATTTTTTTTTCTTCATTACTTCAAATGTTAGCCTCCAAACTCCAGATTCACAGTTCAGGCTATGTCTTGTGAACCAAAGAATGTGATTATGAGAAGAAAAAAGAAAAATTGTCTTTATGATGATATAATATGTGAAATTCATTTTAAAAAAAAAAATATTCGTTTATATACAAGAAACAATTTTCATGCATTTTTTATCTGACATTTGTTCCATCCAGTTTATTGAGTTGTTGTTTTTTTGTGTGTGGTTTTCCTGGTTATTCAAATCAAAAGTTGGCATGGTTGATTGGAACTTTTGTTTACCTTTTGTGTACAAATCAGTATTGGTTAAAAATGAAGCTTAAGCTGATTGGTCTGCTCAAGGTGATCATTGATTAGTGTAGAATCTCAAAGTGGCAATGGTATAAGGAGTTTCATTGATTTCTAAGTCCTATCCAAGTGTTAATCTATTCTGGGAATATATTGTAGAGAGTTCAGCCCAGGGGTGTGGCTAATTGACACGCATAGCAGATTTCAATCTAACAAAGGAGGCAGGAATTGGACAGTGACCGCAGATAAATTAAGACATGGAATGCAGGGGAGGTGAAAGGTGCAGGGGCCAGGCAAGGGTGAAGGGTAAAACCCTCGGTCGAAAACTGGCAAACCACACGCACATAAGATTGCAGTAGATGCCATGGACCCAGGAAAGCACACGCTTAACAGGACACTAGGATTAATCAAGACTGTAGAAGACGGGGGAGGTCACCGGGCAGGTGTGAGAGGGAAAACACAGGGTACGAAGACTGACCACCAAGCACGAGCGTGACGGCGGCACTAAAATAATTGGCATTAGAAAAGCACGGAAAAGTAATCTTTAGAGACACTTCGGTTGGCTCGTGGACCTATAAAAGGGGACGGTTAGTTTGGAGGTAGAGTGAAGCAGAGTCAAGCCAAGAGGAGCCGAGTACACTGAGTGAGCGAAGCCGGAGAGAGTTAGTCTGACGGTGGGCGGGGCGGACTGTCTAGTGTCCAGGATAGACATGAGAAGACACTAACCCGGGACAGTCAGAGCAGAATTGACCGGTCTTGATTGTCGAGCAGATCAAATAAAGTGGAAGTCTAACAGTGTGTTGCAGTAAGAGAGACAGAGTGAAAGAGGTTACCATCCACAGAAAGTAGATTGAGAACGAGTTGAGATAAGGGGGATTTCCTAACTATATTCACAAATAGATTTGGCGTTGCAGGTGAGAATTGAAGCTGGCAGTGATATCTTGCATGATGGGGTATTTAAGACCAGCAGCTGGTAAAACCAGAAGGGATTATATCCAGAACCAGGAAATAAGCAAATGGCTGGCACCATCCCACAAATGAGCCAATTTATGGCCTATCAACATATTGCTTGGCTCGGAATGCCTGTCAACTCACCTGCATTGCAAGCTTACAATATGTGGAAGAGCACTTGTCAGTGGAGTGACTGTGTTGGGACACACTCAAATCTACAACATGAACCTCAGTCAACTATACCTCCACATGCCAATCGATAAAATTTTTCTCCTTTCATAAAGCATAGTTACATCCACATGTCAATCGATAAAATTTTTCGTCTTTCATTAAGCATAGTTAAGAGGGAACTTGAATAACATTTGTATAAAATTCTAGGTTTTAAACAACGGGCCCTTTAAAATAATAAAATTTTTATTACAAACTTTGTTATTCATGTAAGCTCTTAAAAATTTCCTATGTCCTATTTGTTTTCCACTGTTTTCTATTCAGACAAACCTTGACCGCCAACAATACTTCAAGGACTGTATGTATGATGCCTGTATACAAGCAGATCCGCAGAAGTCTGTGTGTACAATGGTGAAAGTTTTTGCCCAGGAGTGTTCAAGTAAAGGTGTTCCCCTGGACTGGAGAAGAGAATCATTCTGTCGTAAGATACATTTCACATTATGCTGGAATGCAGTGTTCTTTCTGCTGAAAATAGATGAAAGTCAAAGCAAAACTATCGTATAACAATGTATTATGGGGCACAACGACATATAAGGAAATAAATACAGCAGTGTCGAACAACTACCATAAATGTACCTTAGAATAAATGAAGTGCAGAAAAAGGGGAAAAATGATAAAGAACAAAGTAAGATATGAAATTATAAAGTATAATCTGATTATAAACCTAAAAATAATTGAAACAATTCAAAGCCGCTAAAGTTCTTTTAAATCTGGTTTTATTTGAAGTCCTTCTCATTTTTCCAAGTAGGCTCATAATATATGGAACAAAAATTTCTCATTCATCAAGCCTTCATATTAACTCTTTGCTTTCTTTCATGTTTCTGTGTGGCAAAATCTTCAAAAGGCTAATTGACCCACTTCCCGTCATTCTATCAAGCAGAAATTTGGCACATATAATGCTTGTCAATGACAACAAATTCATTCAAACTTTCAGCCCCACTCCCCACCCCAACCCCCAAAAAATGTTTTTTAAAGGTGTAAGGGGGGGGGGGTGCAGGGTAGGAATGTTAATGATTTGTTCAATGGTTGTGTGTTTCAGTATGGAGATTAATCATGTAGCAGTACATTATAGAAAATGAGAAAATTAATGCTATGGTCTCTACATACCCTGAAAAGTCTGTAAAAACTAATTCGGATCCATTTTAATTTCAGCCATGGATTGTGGCAAGAAAGTGTACCGGGCTGATGCCTCGTGCGAGCCGACGTGTGGAAGAAGTTCTGTGTCACAACAAGTGTGTCAGGAAGCCCCAGAAGAAGGTTGTGTGTGTCCTGAAGGTCAGATGAGACAGGGAGACAACTGTGTTCCACCTCAGAACTGCGGATGTGTTGTTTATTTGCTAGAGGACACGGTCACCTGGACTCTAGCTGTAAGTCTGTATGTGGTGTCAAATAGGCAAATAATAAAATTGTGAACATGCTTATTAATTAAGCACATCAATATTTTTTATGATAAAGAGCAGTGGTTCTCAACCTTCCTAATGCTATGACCCCTTAGTACAGTTCCTCATGTTGTAGTGACCCCCAACCATAAAATTATTTTTGTTGCTACTTCATAAATATGTGATTTTTGATGGTCATAGGTGTCCCCTGTGTAAGGTTCGTTTGATCCCCAAAGGGGTCGTGACCCACAGGTTGAGAACCACTGACATAGAGGATACAGCTTCTCATTTTGAATGTTTACATTTATCAATGTCAACTTTATAAACGAAATCCCTCCTCATCTCCTTAAGCCTGGAGAATCTATGCTGCTGCCTAAATGTCTTGAAACTGTCGACTGTGTTGTTAATCAAGATGGGACCAGTAGCCTTGTACATAGACCCTTCAGCCTTCCAGTGAACAGTGTCTGCAACTCCCAGATACCCCCCAGTGTTGAATGTGCCACAGGCTTTAGCAAGGACGCTGACAACGTTACATGTAAAAGTAAGTAGCATGAATCACCATGGATTTGGTTTGGTGAGATAGAGTGTATGGACATGGGTTCAAAACCACAACTGAATTTAATCTTGCACATAAAAAACAGACAATGTTTAAACTTAAAAGTTAAAAAAAATTAAGTTTTGGGTCAATTTTATTTTCATTTGATCAATGAATCTTGTCATGCTCTCAAGCAATATTTATAATCAAATTAAGATTTTTTAAAAAACGGTAAAATTCATAGATTTACATTAAATGTTTTGAAATGATTACATTTTAAAATATTATGTGCAGTTATTCATGGCGAGTTCTAAGTGGTTTTGAAAAATATAAGTAATCGTGGAAAAGGGCCTACTAGGAATCTTATAATGTTGAGACATGAATATAAAGCTAAATAAGGATGAATAGCAAATTTTTACTTTGATTACCATTTGATTTTACCATTCAATAAAATTCAACTTGATACAATGGTAGGGCCTGGTAAAGAGAGATATTGATTTTGACATTCTTAAAAATTTTTCAAAAAATGATTAAAATTTTCCATCCATGGATCAATAAATTGAGTTTCTTCAAACAGAGCATTGCAAACTACGTTAGTATTATTATATTTTTACTAGAAATAACCCACCAACCAACAGCAGTGGCAAAGCATGAATTTTCCATCTACTAAAGTCACTTGACAAAACATGCATTCAAGTAGAGCACTATATAAGTATCACCGTTAGTGATAACTTCTGTGAATTTTATTTTTCATGCTTTCTTTTTCCACAGCATGGCAGCCATACATACAAACCTAGAGAATTATTATTTGTGATTTATAAGTTCACTGGCTAATGTAATAATAAACTTGGCATTAGATTTTTTATTTTAGTAAAGATTTAATATTATCTCCTTCATTTCTAATCATTCAGGAATCCCAGCCCAATGTGTGAATGGTTTTTATGATGTGAATGGATTCTGTCTGAAAAGCCCAGAGGAACCTAAGACCTGGAGAGGGGCTCTCCAAGCATGTAATGAGGAGGACGGGACATTGATCAGTATTGACACAGATGCTAAGATTATATCCCTCATGAAGATCTTGAAGGAAAAACAATTGTGTAAGATTATTTTAATTCTTAAATAAATAGTTTCAAATCAGTGGATAAATTTTAATGTTATCTAAATAAATGTACTCCCAAACATGGAAAAGGGATTGACACTTCACAATCTAAAAAAATCCTCAACTATCTAGCTGCAATGCATTATATCTTTTGAAAACCTTTCAAATTTTCTTATATGCATATTCTCTCCTTTGTATAAATGGTCTTCCATGTGGCGACTAATTTGACCACTGGATGGAATTAAATAAAAATGGATGAAAAACATACAACAACATTGACTTTAAGCCATTGATTAAAGCTGATTTGCTAAAAAGGTTTATAAGTGGCAATAAATTCAAAGTAAATAAGCACAGCTGGAATTATTTAACATTTTATACACGTCATAAAGAGTGATGAGGGGACTTCAGGACGGAATTATTATGTTTCTTTGTATGTTTAATTGTAGACTAATACAATCTCCAATTTTTTTAAAAAAGAACATAATTATAATATAAATGTAAATAGATTATTTTCATAGTTTAAATAACTTTGTGTTATATTTATAAAACGTAATGCAGTCCCTAGCTCTAAAGTAAGACAATGGCAGTGAAGAGGCATTTCTAAATAAATAAAGGATAAAACATACTAAAAATTGACTTTAACCAATTGTTTAAAGCTGTTTTGCTAATAAGGTTTATAATCCATAACGTAACCCAAATAAATAGGATTAGGTTTTGTGACCCAGTGGTTCTTAAACTCATGCCATTGAGGAAAACCCGCACACAGATGCGATGATGAACATAAAAAAAATCAGGTCAGCTGTGATATAAAATGTCTTCATACTTATGATCTCATTAACATTTTTAAAAAAATAACAGTAGCTTAAAATACTTCTCTATCAGCTTTAGTTTACATCAGCGGGAGAGTGAGAGCAGATGTGGTAATGGGTGCAGTTGTTTTGAAACCTGTGCTCAGCCTCACTGAATATGGCAAGGTAGAGTGGGCCAACTTCCGGTGCAGTGATAAACTCCTCGGGATGATCAAGTTGTCCAGTGCCATCAGCATTGGTTCCATTCCAGCAGAGGGCCTGATCCTGAGTGTTGCTGTTAGAATGACATCAACTAGATTGATCTTTGAAGCTGTGCTTTCTGATGCTCCAGCCAACTTTGTGTGTGAAGAGCGTAAGTGATCTCCCTTTAACTGTTATTTGTGTGGCCTTCAGGTAAGCGTGCTATCTAACTATTCAGACTTGTTAACGCTGCATGACACAATTTCCTCTATGCTGACAACATTCACTTTGAGACACATTTAATAAAGATTTGTTTATTCCAAAGGGATCACATTTTATAAACGTTCAGCAATGTGCAATATTATATGAAACTCATATCTGGTGACAACTGAATTTTACATAGGGATGTGTGTTGGAATTTTTTAATGCAATCATTTAAAGCAAAATTTGGTCATTAAAATTAACATGATGATTGCCTTTACTCATAGACTCTGAGATTTAAAAAATTGCATAGAAATCAAAAGTCAGAATAATAAACCATAATTTTTTGTGTTAGGTAATTGACAAAAAGACAATAATTTATTGTCCTAAACAGGTAAGGTGACTGAAGAAGAAACAGAATTTTATGGCCCATGCAACAATGATGTGGATATGAATGATGGTGACCAGGAAAGACGTTATGATATGATTATGGTAGGTATTATGGTATAAGCCTCTTCTTATATATGATGAGTAACATTTCAAAGGTATGCGACATTTGGCATTCATCTGCAATTGAATTTTTGCCTTGTTCAAGACCTACTAACCCTTTTATTTTCTGTGTTTTAATTCAGATTTAAAAAATAAGAGTGCTAATGCAAAACATTGAAAAATCTAAAATCTAAGAAACAAATGCACTTGATTTTGATATCAATTAAAATTATAATTTATATCAGAATCCCTAAGGTTAGCTGACTGTCATGGAAAAAAAAAATGATGCTTCACTTTCCTCTAAAATACTCGTTTTTAATAATAATTATCATCCATTGAATTTGTGATTGAAAGCAGCTTAAATAAAAAATAAAACTTAATATTTTGGCAATTTATGAATATAAAGCTTATAAGTTTCACAAATGAAACAAAATGAAAGATTATACGTTCAAAGTTGTTCCATGGGAAATTGGAAGGTATGAACCAGTTTAATAATCCCATAAACGGGACGACCATACATGAGGCTGAATAAATTTCAGGCAAGCAGTGAAGTGAAGAATTAACCTCATTATGAAAATCAATTTCTTTGACACACAAATAAAATATGCACACAGTCTAAAGCCTTAACATCTTAACTACTTTGATCAAGGAGCTCTTTAGTTAATAATTTTACACTAAATAAATAAAAATTTTAGCAGAATTTTTTTTTTTTTCAATATTTAATGAAAAAAAATGCTTTTATTTTAAAAAAATTTTTGAGGAGAATGCTCAAAGAGAATGTGAACAGATAATATCATAACTGCATAAGTTAATGATAATTTTAAAATTACCATTTAGTAATTTACATTTGTAACAGTGTCTATGTCTTCACTAAGAGAGCTCTGCAAAGAATGATACTGCAAAGGAATTTATCTCAGTTGACTTTTGTCCACTTTGGTACTGTGTGTTCTATAATTATAAACTAGACTACAAATGCATTACCATAAATTCTTGCAGAACCCAGACTGTCTTGTGTGTCCAAAACCAATTGAAATCCGCTGTGACGTCAATCCCAACAGAGTGGTCGAGGGCTCAGTTGAGGGCACATGTGATTTTGGCGCCAATGGTGAATATTACAGTTGTAATGAAGGTCTCAGCTGTATTGATAAAGGTGTCAGCACCAGGTGTGCCAGAGGTCAGTTTATTATCATTTTTAATATTAAAATCTTGACACCATTTGGTCTCAAACTTAGATGATGTGCTAATTGCTTGCTTGTGATGTAAGGCACGAAACATGTTAAAGTTTTTCTCTAAGTGTTTGTTGACTTTAGAGTACTACAATTCATTGTTCTTAGCCATTTATGTGGAAAAAAAAATTAAAATTAAAATAAAGGCTACGTATTATATATGTTATTCAGATATAAACTTACTTTTTTGTTATTGAGCTTTGCTGATGTTTTAATTATGTTCGGTTGATGTGTATTAAATCAAAAGCAAAATGTCACTTTTTCCTTCTTTAAACAATATATTTAAACTTTTGTTGATTTATTTTTATGCGAGATATAACTGGCCAAATAATGATGGTGATGCATAGACTTCCCTTCTTCTAACATTACTTGATAAAACATAAATTCAAGCAATCCACTTCATAAGAATCCGATTTAGCACTAACTTCTGCCAATTTTATTTTTCACACTTATTGAACACAGTGTTACAGCCATACATACCTGGAGAATTATTATTTGTGATAAGAATAAATAAAGGAAAAAATGTTGAGGGTCAATCAGTTACACCCCAAATTGTAATAGCGGTTAAAAAAAAATTATTTAGGTTTAAATATAAAATCATATTATGTAAAATTACACAGATAATGCCACAGATTCTCAGTCGACTCATGCATCTGATATACATTGAATTAACTTTTCCCATCACAGATGCTGATGAGTGTGCAACTGGTCGCCATGACTGCCCAGTCAACACTAGGTGTGTTAACACTGTAGGTGGCTACTCTTGCAAGTGTACTGAGCAGTTTCCTCTTATGGTCAATGGAAAATGTCAAGGTAACTATGTAAAAAGAAGAAGAAAAAAAACTGAAGTTTAAACAAACCTGAGAACTTGTGCTGCATAAGTGGTACTTTAATCCAAGAACAATATATTAACAAATAGATGTTTAGTAAACCTAGAAATTCTTCAAGTAAATGAATGGAATCGATTTAGTATTTGAAATAATATAAGGTGATATTTTGGAGAAAATTATCATTTTATTTTCTGACTTTGAGATTATTGTCTATAAACTAATTCATCATGTCTTAAATAAATACAAATTAATTTCACATTTTTTAAGTTGTCATAAAAGAATTTTGGGCAATGTGTTGTCTCCCTCGATGAACTAAACTTACTGTAAAGATATTACCCTGTATAAATCATTTTACTTTTTTTTTTAATTTAATATTTTCTTCTGCAGCTTCAAGCACATGCACAATGTCAGGACCAGCAACTCCAATGGACTATGTCTATAACCTTCAAGGATTTTCAGGAATACCTGGACAATTTGATTATGACTGTAAATTCAAACTGGCCCACATATGTGACAACAGTAATTGTGAGTTTCTGAAATAGGTTTTCTAATGCTTCAGATTTTTAGAGTCATTAAACATTTTTATATTAAGGATGTTGAGTTGAAACTCTAGTAGAAAGAGCATAGAGTAGATTTTTACTTGAGTTGTATAATAAGAGACAAAAGCAGATTGACCAAACTTCTTAAGACTCTTTCTTTTTTTAAATATTTGCCAAATAATGATTAAAGGAGTTTTGATTAAATGTATAAAAATTTCCATAACTCAAATTAATTTGACCTGACCAAGTTTTCCTCTCCACTTCACATAATTATTCAAATTATTTGTTTTAATGAATGCAGTTATGGATATTTATTGTCTTCATTGTAACCTAACTGTTAGAGACTATTATTATCTATGCACTGTTGTATGGACTATAGAGTCTTCTTCTCATCTAAATAGCACCATAGTTATACATAAGCTTTCTAGACAATCCAGAATGCTATAACTAAGCATTATTCAGGTATTAATGTAATCAATGCGTTTTTCTAATATTCCCTTGACCAGATAATGCCAGTTCAGGTTTGCCGTACATTTCCTTCTATGTGATGAGTTCCAGAGATGCTGGAGCTTTACTGCCCCATCTGTCTGGTGCTATATATTTCCACCAGACAAAAATAATGAAGAGATGGGGAGTAACCCCCGGACTTTTGAGTCAAGGTCTTATTTCGGTAATAACAAAGTATCTGCCCAAAACATTTTTTTCTTTTTTAAGAAATGTCTTTTCATTTTGAAATATGTTTTTATTATCTGGGATAAGATGCATAACTCACATAAACATAGTGGCTAACATGCAAAGTTGGGATTCAAATATTAATTTTATTATCAACAAATGATTGCAAAGCTAAATTTGTTATTGCATGGTGTCTTTTGATAATAAAAAAATATTTTCTGATTAGCAGATTTACTTAATTTAAAAATTAAAAAAAATTTATGAAAATTTAAATACAACATAACATAACATTAAAACTTTTAAATATTTCTTCAGTTTGCTGAAAATGATGGTGATCCAATACTGACATCATTAGGTTTTCTGGACAAGGACATTCAAACCAGATTCCAGTTTATTGCACCAGGTACCTTACTGATACGCCAGAGCAACAACTACTTCAAGGCAACCATTTCCTTCCCAACAAGGATACAGGTTTGATTTAGGGAAATTTAAATAAAGCCTCTATCTTTTTCAATGCTGGAAAATATTAATATTCTCATCAGTACAGATTCCCGAAAGACTTTTGTATATATTATCACTAGGTGATTTCATGGAGGTGTGTTTTTAAAAAATGGTTTTCTCTCATTTACTCAGCTATTCTACACCTTTACCCTCATCTACCATTTTTCAGCTCAAAAACCTTATATTTCACCATCATCTGCTACCCCAACCTACCGCCAATCCAATATTTTCCCCTGAACTATCATACTAACACCCACCAAGCCCATATTTTCCCTTCGGCTATCACATTAACACCCCCAGCATCTACATCAATATTTAAACAAATAACTATAATAAAAAAGCACATAATAATTTCACTAAATATTATTTTATAATCTGTAATTGATTAAATTTTGTTCCCAGATTGAATTCTCGGAAGAATATAAAAATCTTATCTGTGGTGCTTGTAGGACCAAGCCAGATTATACTGATGCCAAAATTGTATTGACTGACCAAGAAGTTGATGAAATCTCTGCTTTTCCAGAGGCCCCGTAAGTCTTTTCAATACTGCTTGTAATCTAATCACAAATGAAAATGTAAAATGTTTTACAAATTATTTAAAATTTCTCTATAAAAAAATATTGGCCTCACATGATTAAGAGAATGACTCCTTCTTCCAGATTTTGATGGCCCATGATCAATTTATTGATAATTTTGGCTCCTGCTTTGAATTCAAAGTTTGCCGTCTCTTAGAATCCCATCCACCCAGGGTGCTTGGGTTGTTTTTGTTTGTCTTGGCTTTGGTGGGGATTGAACTCCAGACCACCAGCTATTTGGATTGAGTCCGCTTAGACAGCTCTGCCACGCAGCACCCATTTACATATGTCCTTTCATTTTGTGAGAAATGGGATTAATATGATAATGCAAATGATGTCAGACATTACACTGAACTTCTAGAAATATTATACTCTCTTGAAAGTTAATTTATGTAATTTAATATTATGCTCAGACAAGTAGCCATGTAAACATTTACTTTGAATTAAATGTCAACGAAAAATATATCATATTTCTCTTACATATATTTGTGTTATGCACATTTTTTGATGGGTAATTTAAAGTGAAGGCAAGGAGCTTAAAACAAACAGTTATCACATTTCTGGATGAAATTATTATTAATCTATTTATGGAACAAATATGCTCCTTGTTTTTGTTTGATTAAGGATGTATGATGACCACTGCTAATTTACTAACTTAGTTTTCTGGGAAATATTAATTCAAACTGTTACAAACATTCTCTTCATATTCAGGGAAATAAATTAATTATATGCAAATTAATCATATTATTTTTCTACCAGATGCAGCCAAAGAGTTGTCCCGACTTCTCCACCACCCATCACGCCCGATGAGCCAACCACCCCATCACAACCCATAGAGACCACCCAAGAGCAGACAACTCCACAGATTACCTATGGCAGCACCATATTCACAGGAGTACCCACGTTTCCCATTGAAACTCTTCCACCTGCTGTGGAGGTGACCCAGCCACCGCTGCCCTTTGAAACCCTGCCACCATCACGAGAAGGAACTCCTATTCCGGTCACCGAGGAACCCCAAACAACTGTAGGTCTGGTCACCCAGACAGAACCAACGGTTACTACAACACCAATTCCTGTAGACCATGAGCTTGATGACTGTAAAGATGAGGCCATTGTGGCCTGTGGTGCACTGAGCAGCCTGTGTGGAGTGCCACAAGTAAGATTCTCAATTAACTTTGGCTTAAACAAGATTTTAAAGTATTTTAAAAGTTATAATGAATGTTTTGCCAAGATAGAAATGTATATATTTCTTTATCAAATTGATAAAACATGATTTTTTGTGTGTTTATAAGTAAGCCTAGTCTACTCCAAAGTTTCCCCAAAAGAGTTTAGATTAAATTAAACTATATCATTCTCAACAATTATTTTCCACAGGAGAAATGCAGAGCTTCTCTGTGTTCTGGTAAACTCAGCATCTGCTCCTATCTAGCAACAGACAATTTTGAGTCTTGCACCCTGACGTCTGAACTTAAGGCATTCATTCAGTTTGAAAACTGTGATCAGCGTAAGTATACGTGTTGGAAAATGCCTTAATTTTTTTTTTTAATTTAAAACTAAATTGATAATAAATTTCATAGGTTTTGCATGCATCAATTGAAGCACAGGTGATCTCAAAATCAAACATTAAATACATAAAGTTAAACACTTACTGTAAGTCACACATAGTGAGTATGGATGAGCATAATTTCTATACTGGTAGCTTAAAGTGTTTTGAAAACATATTTACCTACATTCAATTAAGCTCTGGAAAATTTCTAAAAGATGTTAAAACAACTTTGAAACTTGGATCTCCTATCCAAGTTCACCAAAATAGCATAGAAAATGGCCGTCTCATGTTAGATAATGTATCTGCAGTCTGTGGAGCAAATATGGAGTTCAAGTACACCACCAGATCCCAGCAACCGACCTGCATAGAGCCTATCCTCAGCACATCTGTCAGTGAGAGCTCTGATGTTGACTACACATTTGCTTGTGTTTGTGATGAAGGATTCGTCCTCAGTCAGACAGAGTGTGTCAGGGTGTCAGACTGTGGTTGTGTTATGACGAACGGTGCCTACAAACCAGTGAGTTTTATTTTTAATTTTATCAGTTAATCTATAGACCTAATATTGGTATCTTTTTCTGATTAGAATATATTGTTTCATCGAAATTCCTCACCATTTCACCTCTATTTGTTCCTCACCATTTCACCTCTTTTTGTTCCTCACCATTTCACCTCTATTTGTTCCTCACCATTTCACCTCTATTTGTTCCTCACCATTTCACCTCTATTTGTTCCTCACCATTTCACCTCTATTTTTTCCTCACCATTTCACCTCTATTTGTTCCTCACCATTTCACCTCTATTTGTTCCTCACCATTTCACCTCTATTTTTCCTCACTATCTGCCTAAAATAAATATTGTTTTAGTTTACCTTGTTTTATTTATAATTACTATTAATCTTTCTTTTATAAATGAACACTTTTTAAAAAGATTATTTCTGTTAGTGGAAGATAAGGTCACTTCCCCTAGGCCAGTGGTCGGCAAACTCATTAGTCAAAAGAGCCAAAAATCAGCAGCCAGACTTTAAATATTTTTTTTGAGAACCAATTTTCTATTCACGACCTTGTCAAGAACCATGTTTTTCTGAGTCAAAACTGATTTGTGGCTGACTTGTTGAGCCGCACTCAGGTTGCTAAAGAGCTGCATGTGGCTTGGGAGCTGCGATTTGCCTTACATGGGGCACGTACAAACACTAATACGACTGACTAAAAGGCTTATTCAAATCATTACAAATACACTTGGTGATTTTTGTTGTTCATTTATCCATTCATTGAACATCTATTTCATCAAATGGACAATGGATTTAAGTTCACCCTAAAGGGACTAGCCATGCCTTATAGTGAGAATAAATTCTGAAATCTTCATCTCCCAGCCTGGTAGCCAATGGCGTTCGGATGACTGCAGAGAGGTAAGAACCTGCCTAGGTAACAACAATGTCAACACCCAGGTAGCACCTTGTGGTTCTAATACTGAATGTGTTGTTGGGGAGCGTGGTCCAGAGTGTCGATGTCTTGATGGCCTTTTTGGCAATCCAGACATGCCACAAGGATGTAGTCCAGGTTTGTGAAGATTTAATAGAGTTGTTTGTGTATAATATACTGATGTTACTACTTAGCTACAGGATTTGAAAGCATAAATAATTGTTAGTTACTTTGAGAGTAGTTTGTTATTCTGTCTGAAATAAAAATAGCGAATATAACTACATTTATAAAATACATTTTAAATATTGCTAATATAATTACATTTATAACTTAAATTTAAAAAATTCTTCTTATTCAATATAATAAGGGCCGACGATCAATATATTGATCATTCTGGCTCCTGTGTTAAAAATTGCTAATAATAATATAACTATATTTATAACTTAAATTTTTAAAATTGCTAAGAGAAACATCTGTTTATTGAATTGTAACTTGCAGGTGAAAAGTCTCTTGATGGCAGCAAAACTTGCTACAATTATGTTCTGTCTGATGGACAAAATGACACCCGCTGTGATTGTAACATGGGATTTGTTTCAAACTGTGATGACTGTGAAGGTAAAATGTACATTTTACTTTTTATACTTCACAAATATAAGTACAGTGCAACCTCTCATAACGAGCACCTCTCATAACAAGTAATCGCATAATGAGCAAAAAAAAATGTGAAGAAGTTGCTCCCTTAACGAGCGACATTTCGCATAACGAGTTATGCAGAAAGGGGAAGTCCCTTTTCCCAACATTGATTTGTGAGCGGAGACTTCCGCGCCGTGCATTAGTCTGTGTTTAATACTCGGTCTTTTAGCATATTGTTTTCGTGTGTGATCACCAGTTTTTACAAATTTTGTATTCAGACAGTATTTGTAATTTTTTTATGTGCAGACAGTATTTGTAATTTTTTATGTGCAAAGTGTAATAATCTAAGCTAAAATGTCTTGGAAGAAAAAACCACAAGAAGACAATCATAAGAGAGAAAAAATAACTGTTGAAATGAAACGTAAAATCATTGGAAAGCGAGAACAAGGTATGAGCGTGGCTAATCTAGCGCGTACATACAATCAGTCAACATGGGAAAATGTTGCATCCTACATTGAGAAGCATCACCCTAATAAGGAGGTGGCTATTCGTGCCACAAATTTATTCCATGATAACGCTGTGACACATTTTCATCAAATTTTGAAGCGGTGCCACAAATTTATTCCATGATAACGCTGTGACACATTTTCATCAAATTTTGAAGCGTCGGCAAAAACAAATATCTTTAGACAGTTTTCTAGTTAAAAAGGATTATTTGTCATAAATTCATATTTTTATTTACGTTTTTGTTTCAAATCTAAATTGTATTCCAAGTTGTTACACTCCTTAACAATTCATAAGTAATTTTATTTGAATAAATGTTAATAAAAACTTTTGAAAAATGAATATTTTTTAAGCATGGAACGCATTATCGTATTTTACATTGATTTGTAAGGGAAAAATTTGTTTCGTTTAATGAGTGTTTTTAATGAGTAAGATTCTGGAACAAATTATGCTCATTATGAGAGGTTCCACTGTATATTGAACATTTTCCAACTCTTTAAATGGAACTGTAAGAAGCAACCTCATTTTATTTCTTTTTAAAATGTGCTGGAAAAAAAAAATAGAATAAATCAATGACCCACTTTTGTCTGCAAAACAAAATAAACCTGCATAGAGCTCAAATTCTGAAATCAGAAATATACAACTTAAGTTAACAAGGAAAAATATAATTATGTTGTGATACTTTTCTTAAACAGTTAAAAGTTTAAGTCAAAGCAGTTCATATCTGCTAATCGTCATGCAGGAGGTAGTGTTTTGTTTGGGCAGAGCTGCATTCATGGAAAGGTTATTGTTCAAAAGACATCGTCAGAAACTCAGTCTAGGAATAAGCGTTAACTTGTCTAATACTATAAATAAAGGCCAGGAAAGAATTTAACATTTTTTGTCATAATTTTAGTTAAAGAATCAATATTTTAATTATCATCACTTACTATTCTCCTCCTTGTTACTTTTCATCATGAAAATGAACAATTTTAAAATTGATTATGATATGGACTATTCTTGTTCATTTTGAAACATGTTCACTCTGAGAAAAATAAGAAACCATTGCTTTAGTTATAACATTGTGTATTAATGCCAGCTATGTTTATGTTAGTGTCCTCTCATTAATACTTTGCTATAAAAATTATAACCATTTTGTTCACAGATATTGATGAATGCAAAGAAGGTCTCCATGAGTGTGACCTGACCATAAGAAAATGTATCAATGTACCAGGGGGCTATCAGTGTGGATGTGCTGATGGTTTTGTGGAGAAAAATGCTCAGTGTGTGGGTAAGTAAGCCACAAGTGTCAAACTTGTAGTTTTGATGTAAATCAATAGAAAATCCCTGTCTGTGCTAAAAAATTTGCTGTAAGTAGTAAAATTGTTGCCCTTTGATTTAATATAGCTACTGATGAGTTGTTGAGTAGGTATAGAGTTGGCCTGTTTATGTAATTATATATACACCTGTCCTAAAACAAGTTGGTATTTAGAAAATGTAAATAAGATGTTAAAAATTCTGATATGAGTTGAGACAACAAGTGTGAATAAGTGTAAACAAGTCTCAACAATAGTTTGTAACCCAATATGATGCTGCATTGGACTATGACATAAATAATAGAGATTTTTAAAACAACTCCCCATTTCAACAAAATTTTTCCTCGTATAGTGGCTTTTTTTGGATCATCAAAAATTACACTTTAAAACCCAAAAAATGTTTGGCTGCATAGTTATGCAAGTTTTTGACAACCAAAATACAAACTTGCGTCTTTAAGATTTTTTTTTTATATTACATGTCTTGATGACCATAACTAATTATTTTTCACAGATCAACTGTCACTTTTATTTTAATTTTGTCTAGATATCAATGAATGCGCTCAAGATAAGAATATCTGCAAAGAAAACTCTCAATGCAGAAACACTGAGGGGTCATACGATTGCATCTGTTGTGCTGGTTACTTGTGGAATCCAGAGTCTCTGAGCTGTGAGAGGGAGTTGATGGGTATGTAATTTTACTATTAAGAAAAAAAAAATATTTTATCAGTGTTTTCCTATCTTTTAATGTGCAATATTCCAGAGATGATAGTTATCACTTTTTACAAGATTGAAACAAAAATATGATTTTTAATAATTCAAAATACTGCTTATCATGCTATCAAAATATCATTTAAAATGAAATTTTGTTACAAAAATTGATTATTTTTAAAGTTATATTTATGCTTTAACTTTAATAGATGAAATTTAAAATAACAGTGAGAAATGAAAATTTTATATATTTCACATGTGTGAAATTAAATGACTGCTGTATAAATTTGCCATCCCCAACTGAGACTGAACTGAACAGATTTTTGTGTGTTTTATTAAAATTGTATTTTTAAAAAATTATAAGATTTAGAGAACAAACTAGTTACCCAGAACTGGTCAACTTTTTCAAAATTAAAATCCAAGACCTGTCATTGACTGGTGAGGTTAGTTAACAAATAAACCTAAGACACTAAAATATGAAACTGATGACAGTTTCTGACTATTTGCAACAGGATGCAATGTTTAAGTCAAATAACATATTTTTGACTACTTGCAACAGCATAAAATGTATAAGTCATATAACATAATCTGAACTTAAATCCCACCAGGTTTTCCTTCACTTCCTGTCAATGCCAGCTGCTGTGCACTGTGTAACAATGACGCCCTGTGTGAGGAATCTGAAGGTCTTCCCAGCCCTTACTGCTACACTGATGAGAAAGGTCAGAGGTCACAGTTTGTCAGCTACAAGCGAATGTACCAGGAGCGCTGCCTGAACAACCAGCCATTGAACAAAGATGGCATCTCCAAGGGAGGATGCCCATCAGTTAATCCCAATCCTAATGCAGGCCCAGGTAATCTAGAGATATCTGTAGGTTTTGGGTGACTTGACAGCTAAGTGTCATTCATCGTCTCAAAGCATTACAAATTCGTTATCTCAAAGTATTACGATTAAATAAATTTGATTATCTACATTTGCATTGATGAAGTTTGTTTCCCTGACCATTTATTTTAGTTAATGCTCTTCCCTTGCATTTTATTAATTTCGTTTATGTGGTATACTTTACGTCTGATTTCCTTTATTAGTTCTTATTATAGCTTGTCTAATATTCAGATGGTGCTAATATTCAGATGGTGAAAATATGAAAAATTCCATTGAACATTTTCAAAACAGATTTGTGTAATGTGAAAGACTTTGCAAAATATTAAAATAGAAAAAAAAAACATGTATTACATTCATTATATTTTTTTTGTTAATCATAATTATAATGCTTTGTTTAATTTTTAGATTTTAGTATTATCTATACAGTAACTTTTCTTAATAGGTTCACCACCAGCACCACTCCCCAATTCTTGTGATGATCCATCTCTGTGTGCTGCGCTTCCACCCCCACCACCAGCTCTTGCTCAAGGTATGAGGAAGTTGTCTGCTCCATTATATTGTACATTTTTCTTTTCTTTTTTGGCAATAGGATAACATTTGATGACTGTGGAAAATTAAGATTCTTATTAGCAGAGTGACATTTCATTTTTGACAAAACTGGAAATTCAAGAAATCAAAGTAGAGCTTTAAGCAAATATAAAAGAAAATTTTCCAAAATATCATAAGCGAGTAACTAAGTAACTATTAAGAAAATAATGAAAATCTTCATGGAAATAAATGTGTAGTGCATCTTGTTAAATGAATATGCAGTTAATATTCTCAAAGAATTTTCAGTGAATCTTCTCAAAGGTTACTGTGAATAAAAATAACAAATTTAGAACTGTTTCTTTTAGCTCTGTACTGTAAAACTTTAATTAGGTCTTATTTTTGGAAGCCTTCTTTGTGTATCAGAGGACAATAAGAATGGTAAGTTTGATTAGCATTTAAATTGAAGAGTACAAACATGTCACGGCTTGGCTCAGCTCAACTGCAAGAATGGAGTTGACTCTCAGACATGTCCATACTTTAAAAAACAAAAACAAATCAACAATGAATATATATTACAGAAACTTCAGAAGCATCCTATTGTCTTTACTGGCACTTGCTACTTTGCATGAATCTGCCCTCTGACAATGATGTGGATAAGATATAATACATACATAATGATTTCCTAAAATTGTTTGTTATTTTTACACAGGCCAAGTTTGTGGACCACTTAACGCTGAAATCCCTAAGACCTATCCATCCTACTGTGACATGGTCCGGGCTATTTGCAATTCTCTCGGTGGTCCACGCAGTTTACCCAGGGATGCAACCGTCAAAGCTAACCCAGGACCTTGTCAAGGAGAGGGACCACCAAAGCCTGATGTGCATCGTAAGCTTAATTTTTTTAGTGGTGTTTTTTATGTTTTTTTAAAGACATTTACACAATAACCTAGAGGGGTGGGGGAGTGGGGGGCTGGAGCGAGGATTCAATACATCAAGGATGGGAAACCTGCAGAAAAAAGGCTGCCCACTGAAACAGTTAAATTGGCTCACAAGACCTTTAGGGTACTGAATTAATGTTTTCATAAAGTTTGAAAACTTTTCATTATCTGTGCAAGCTTTGAAAATTATAAATAACATTGTAATATTGTCATAACAAGTTAAAAATTGTGTTCAGCAAAGATAAAAGTCACATTTAATATTTTTAAGTTTGTAGTTACAATTTATCAGATATCTGTTAGTAATCAACTAAAAAAAAAAAATAATTTAAAATTTATTAAATAATATTGGCAAATTATCCCAACTGCCTGATCGAACGGAAGAGCTTGCAGACTTTGCCATGCTGGTTCTTGATTTTGAATCGATGAATTAGTGTATTTATAACATTAAACAACAGATCTTCCAATTTCTCACATGCAACAAAACTATTTTTAAACAAACAAAAAAGAATCGCACTAAATATCGTTCAAAATAATTATAAATTCGACCAAACTTCCGTTCGACCAAATTTCTATTCAATCAAACCTCAGTGCCATCAAATTTCCATTTGACCAAACTTTGTTCGATCAAATTTCCGTTCTACCCAACTTGTGTTCGATGAAATTTCCATTCAACTAAACTTTTGTTTAAACTTCCATTCAACTTCCGTTTGACCAAAATTCCGTATCAAATTTCTGTTCAACCCAACATCTGTTGATCAATTTTCTGTCAACGAAATTTCTTTTTTCAAAATTTAGATCATTCTCTAAAGTTTTTCTGGCAGATTCTCTGTTTTTTTTGTGTGGCTTGCTGTATATTTTTGTCACAGAAAGGGGATTTGTTCTCAGAATTTTCTGTGGTGTTGTTTTGCGCGATGTCCTAAAATAGTACATCACGTCTTGCTTTAAAAAAATCCCAGTTTGCTTTTTTTGAAATTCTTTTGATTTGGTGTTGTTATTGTCATGAGAGAGGGTCTGTGATTGCTACCTTTGTGGTCCAGCACCTCTCAGGTTGTAAGTCAGTAGTCGGCTGAGTGTTATGAGCACTGTGAAGAAGAGTTGGTATAAACTGTTTGTTCTGTAAAGTGAATAGGTTTGTAGAGTTTCTAAGCACTTCTGTTACCTTGCCAGTGTTGTAATTTTGGTATCTCATTGAGGGGAGTGGCCATTAAAATAACCAGCAATCATGGTCTTGGAATATTGTGTGTTCTCTAGGTGGGCTAATTTGCAGTTTTAGGGGTTGTATATGGTAAAAACTATATATTTTTACCATGGTACGAAAGAGTAGGTTTTTGGATATCTGTAAGCTGATTTGTGTGGACTGCCTCCAAGTCACCGTGGATGTAATTTCTTATGTTGGAGATGAAGCCCCTTTTGTTGGAGATGATGCCTCTTATGTTGGGGATATGCCCTTTATGTTGTTGATGAAGCCCCTTTTGTTGGTGATGATACCCCTTATGTTGGTGATGATGCTCCTTAAGTGGGTGATGATGCCCCTACTGACATGCCATTTGCAAATGTCAAAAGTTTTATAATGAACACTATTTGGAAATAAATTAATGTGTTAAAACTGATTTGATTTCTATGAACTGCAAACTTGTGTGTTCAGGGCACAGAATTTGGAAGCCTCATGTCAGCCTCTACTAATAATATTTTTAACATCCTCTACTGAATCAGTTAAATAGTGGGGTAACTTGATTATTGTATGGGGGAGAACTTATCAGTTTTTGTTTTCAAATGGGTTAAATTAAAGTATTCTTTTTTTTTTTTTAATCAGATGCAAAGAAACCAAAGTTTTTATGTCAAATAATTAAAAGAATTGTTTCCCTACAAAAGTCAATGAACTTTGTGTTTCAATTTTCCATTTTAACTTAAATAACTCATCTGAACACAGCCTCTGAGCCACTCTTTACACCATGGAGTCCATACAGCAAGTGCCTGTTCAAGGATACCACCAAGAACTGTGGTGAAGGACTTCAGGTGAAGAACAGACAGATTGTTCCACATGATGACTTGAGACCTGTGCGTGAGGTAGAAGACTATGAGACAACTGACAGGCGACCATGCTTTGAGCCTTGTCTGGATGAAGCTACAGGTACATTATAATGTATTTTTTCCCCTCATAAGGTAATGGAATTTAGCAGCAAGACAACCCATCTGTAAAAGTGTTGGTGAAAGTGTGCGTAAAATCTTTAAAAATGCACAATTGGTATTTACCTGAGGAGGTGGAAAAAAAGTTTTTCAATTAGATGTTTTATTCCACTCTAAATTTTTTAATTTGTTACAAAATCCCTCTGTTTTCTTCTAAATAGTTGTTGGCTCAAAATGTCAAGGGTAATTTTTAACCACACATTGTTTATTCATTATTACTACTCAATGCACTGTCTGATTTTCTTCTTCTTTATTCACAAATAATATACATTATACAAAGATCCAAATAACCAACTCAATATACTGAGGAAATAACTCCATGAATTGAACTCTACCAACTGACTCCACAAAATGCATTCCACCCCTTGTTCATGCAGCATTTAAACACCTCACTTGGGCCTATTTACTGACCTTGTGCACCACGACCAATGGCGGCCTATTTACTGACCTTGTGCACCACGACCAATGGCAACACACCCTCACAACACCATTCACCGACTCACGATCAACAACTACTCCATGCACAAAACAATCGCGCTCACAAATCCAGTTCCTAACAGTATTCAAATATAAAAATGAAAAGATACATTAAATTTAAATTGCCATTAAAAAGTTTTACTTCACTGGTTGAGGTACATCAAATAATTGAATTTTCATAGATCTTCCAAAAGTTAGGTATTATTTTTTCAATCATAAACCTGAACATCAAGAGTTATACAAAATTTATTTTGTTTGATATCATAGAAACATTATTTTTTATTGGAATTTGGGGTCAACTAAATTGTAACAAACATTTTTAAAAAAAAAAGATTATATCATTGCCATCATTCTTAATTTCTCTTGTAACCTCCATTTTTTTAATTGATAAAGAAAGTAGTGGGACAAAAATAAGTTGATAACCCAAATTTTGTTTGACCCACTGGTGTATGAAATTATGTTAAAATCACTTCCCGTCAATCAACATGTGTTTTCAAGAATGAATAATTGTTTTGTAATTAATCTTATTGTAAATTTGTGCCCCTGAAAATATATTTATTCTTGTTATTGAAGGCAACCCAGTTGGTGAATGTCCAGAACCAAGTTTCTGTAATGAGGTTGACCCCGTATGTGGTTCCCTGGGGTCAGGGGCAGCCAAGGAATACAATAGTGAATGTGAGCTCAACGTTGCTGCCTGTGTTGAGGCGAGGTTACCCCACAAACTGTACTCTGGCAGCTGTGACCCAGAGGATGGTAAGCTGCTTCCCTAATTTGACACTTATATTCTGTAGAATAATTAAGAATATAATAGCTGAATGTAATGACATTTTTAATGACATAATATCATGTTCACAAATATTTGGATTTTTGAAAAGTTAATCAAATTTAAATTATACAAATTCAAACGTTTAACATTTTTTATTTAAACCTCACTACAAAACTAAATTAAAAAAATTAATTAGCAAATTTTACAGTGGCGTATCTGCTTTTTTGCTCTGCTGTAAGTTATATCTTATTATCAACATATCTGTTAACCATCTATTGTTCCTGCAGGTGCAGTAAGACATCGCTACTGTGAGCAAGCTGGACCAGTCCAGGTGGCTGTTAAGTACGACATTGAGAGGGACGGTGTCCACTGTGTGGGTGAACCTGTCTCTGTAGGTTCCTGTGGAGATCTCCTCTGTGAGGGTGGGGCTGGCACTTGCTGTAAAGCCACCAGCTATGAGCAGGTGCAAGTCAGTGTACAGTGCTACAGTCTCGAGACCAAGTTGCCAGTCAGCAACGTTAAACATGTTGTGAGTATGAATTGGACAGATATCTAAACATTGATTACCCATTGGTCTTTTCAATTTTGTTCTCTGTGTTTATAAAAATCAAATTAAGTACTATATAGGGTTAAAAAAAAAGATGTAAGTAAATCATTGTACATGTTAAAACAATGAAATTGAATTATTGTAGGAGACTGATAACTTGAAAGGGGAAATATATATTTACAAAAATAACTTAAATAATATTATTAAAGAAAAAGGATCTTTGATATTGAAAAATAACAGCTGGAAAGCTCATATCATTTGAAAACATGTGGAAAACAATTACAAACTTTTAACAACTTTACTCTGATCATAAATATCTGACTTTTATCATGAATGTTTAAAAGAAAAAAAGAATTATTTTAATGTTTAGATGCTCTTATTTCTGTGAATTATGTCATCATGAAAAAATATATTTTCTTCTCAATTTAATAAAACAGTTTGCCACATAAGTAAATTTCCCTAAGAGAAAAATTCAAATGAAATTCAATGAAGAAATTATTAACTATTTATTTTCAAAATTTTGATACACATCTCAAAAGGGAGCCTATTAATTTTCAGTAATAGGGATATTTGTTCACAGACTTGACATAGTGAACCATCAACCCATGCTTTCCTAATTCAACTGGGGTTGTTGCTACCTATAAAAAGTGTATTTATCATTTTTTTTTCTTTCATGCTGGTGGCATGTGGCTGAATTTTCAACATTTTTAAAGGTCTATTTATTTCAATTTTGAAATTTTCAAGGCTTTGTTTTGTCTTTAAAACAAAAATCCTCTAAATTCTCTCCACAGTACATCTCTGCCAAAGAGTGTAAGTGCCAAGTTGACTCTCCATAGACTGGCCAGGATGCCACCCTGCTCGTTATTTATTTCATCATGTACAGAAATGAAAACACCATAACCCTGGTGTCAGTAATAAAATATTAGAAGAATTGAACTCGGCTTCATCTCATTATATAATTATGTGTGTTTGTAGAGTTTAACGTTGGAATGTTTCTTTTAGTTTAATGTTGGAATGTTTTATTTTAATGTTGGAATGTTTCTTTTATTTTGATGTTGGAATCTTTCTTTTATTTTAATTTTGGAATGTTTCTTTTATTTTAATTTTGGAATGTTTCTTAGCTTGTTGGCTCTTTTTGTTGTATGTTTTTTAGTTTGTTTTAAAGTTGTTGAAAATATTGCATTAGAGGCCTCCTGATCTTTACTCCTTTGTTGCCATAACAACACCACCCCCCCCCCCTGAATTTCTTCGTCTGTTATCTCATCAGAGTCACTGAATTTCAGGACCCACCCCATCATCAATGAATCCACTCAGAATCCCTTTCTAAACAACAACATCTGGGATTTTATTTTAATTTTGGATTGTTTCTTGGCTTGTTGGCTCTTTTTGTTGTATGTTTTTTAGTTTGTTTTAAAGTTGTTGAAAATATTGCATTAGAGGCCTCCTGATCTTTACTCCTTTGTTGCCATAACAACACCACCCCCCCCCCCCTGAATTTCTTCGTCTGTTATCTCATCAGAGTCACTGAATTTCAGGACCCACCCCATCATCAATGAATCCACTCAGAATCCCTTTCTAAACAACAACATCTGGGTTTTAGGGTAGGCTAATTAATGTCGTAAATAAGAGTATTATTAATTATGATAAGCAAATCAATGAGAAAAAAACATTCAGGAAAGAAAAAGTCACATTTTGATTATTAATAAGCTTTTAACAGTAGCACACATTTTTAACTTCAGACTTTAATCAAACGAACAAAAATAATATTCTCAACTATTTAATTTAAATAGTTTTATCAATCAAATATTAAAATAATTGGTGTTGTCTTAACCTTTGGTCAAATTTAAATAATGAAATCGTAAAAATGACAACGTGTCTAATGTTTGGTCACTTAACTTTGACCGCAAATGGTTACAAAAGTAACCTGATGAAGAGAACACCCGCTCCCACTCCACACTGGTCGGAGGAATAGACCTTAGGCTATCATACGCAATTTCTAGATATTTTCCTCTTGAACCGCCATTCTCAAATAAAGCCATTTCTATTTTTACCAATGTATCCATGTCTCCTCCCAACGTTTTAAGTATCATGTTACATCTAATACATTTAGCTGAGAGATTGTCCATAGCTTTCAAGAAATGATGCCAAACTGATGCCTTTTTTTCCGATAGTTTTATATGGTTCTCAAATTTAAGTTTATTTTTTTCAGGATCCCCCATTTCTTTCTATCAACCTAAAGGGAAAATAAATCATTAAAAAAAATTATTAATTCAATTGAATTGGTTTGACGTGTAAAACTTTTTTTTTTAATGTTTAAATTTTCATGTAAATGTTTGGCTAAGTACGGTACAGACAAACTGGGACATTCAGTTATGTAAATTTTGGCTAGGTACGGTACAGACAAACTGGGACATTCAGCCTGAGACAAAATAGCTCGAAAATCAATTATGAGGTGAATGCAAATTATTAATATTGTTATCACAAAATAGAAGTCACATAATTTTTCTGTGTCTTAAACTTAAGGTGTTTGATTATTAAAATACGGATTTACTCATAGTTTTAAAGATGTATGTTTTTTGGCATAATTAAAAGAAATCAAGCAATCAAACATTTTTTTAATTAAAACTTGACCCCTCGATTTGAGTGCAACGTGTTTTTATTTCCAGAAAAACTCTTAATGGAAGTCAAAATTCGATCTTCATTCGCCTATACCAATCATTTATTTGTCAATAATATGAAAACATTTACTTACCAATCCTGTACCTTCACGTCGTGACTCGTCTCTACTTACACATTACACACGCACGATGCAAAAACAAAACAAATTACCACGTCATGATTCTTGACAAATAAGAGCTCTAGCCCGTCAGTCGGCTCTCTTTTGAAATCGAGACACGTGGTGTAAGGGATTTGCTCATCTCATAAATTATTATGTCTTGCTTTAACTACGACGTGGAAACTAAGGAAAACGATTTTAAAAAATAATTGAAAATGAAATCCCGGGATTATCGAAAATCCCGGTCTCCATAAATCCAATCTCGGGTTTTTCGGGCATCAATTATGGTCCGGTATTTTCGAAAGTCGGGATCCCGGATTGCGACTCCTATTGACAGGGTCTGCGCTGTTTCCAAGAGGGTGCATTCAAAAATTGATCCTTGCCAGTCGTTAGTTAGCCAACTTTCCCTGCTCACAGGTTCTCACTGTCTTTGAAGCAGTAGATGTGTTGGCGGACCCCGATGTTTTGTAAGCCTATTTAATTGAACACTCGACTCAGTCATGCATGACTGTCAGGACCTTTGTGATCACGGAACCAGAGAAGTTCAAAAGAGATGACTAATCATGACGGGCTCTAAAGTTATATAAATATACTGGAGGGGAGGATGTCACTAAATAAATGAGCTATGCGGTATATCTCCTTAAACAAAGGAACAATTTAGTCAAAATGGGACCAAAATAAAGCAAAATATCCAAACTACTAAGCAAAATATTTTGTTTTAAATGGTACAAAAGGATAGCAATATTTTATTCATTCCTAAAAGAGCCATGGCTTAAAATAAATTATAGACAGGGTTGCTCTCCATACAAGGGGAGAGAAGCACTGATCAACCGATGCAATATTTGCCAGAAACACACAAACTGGGATATATAAGCTGATTGCTCTTGTGCAGCCATACACGAGATACCCCAGTTAAAACTTTACATTGTACAAGGTAAGAGCTGAACGATAACTACTGTATACATGTGTTTAGTTTTCCAGAGTTGACAATAGATGTAGACCTTGACACGATAGTATGCATTATTTTTAATCTTTGCGTGCTCGGCAGCAGTTTTAACATCAGGCACAAGATATTTACTTTTTAATGGAGGCTGTAATTTTTGTGTGTTTAGACTTCTAAATGTTTTTCTTTTTTTTTTCCCTTATTTTTTGGTTTTACGCTAGGGTGACCAAATCATGAACTGGAGAAAACGGGACACACCCAAGGAGGGTCGTTTAAGGGGGATACGCTCCAGTTAAAGAGGGGTTTGGCGGCCTCCGTCGTAAACTGTTTATTGAAATATGTTCGTTTTAACTATTTTGATACCTAGAAATAATTTAAATTTAATTTCACCTCATTAAACATAGCGGTATCAAAATTGGTTTCTGCGCAGTTACCGCAATACCCCCCCCCCCCCAACCCCGCTTCATTTCTCGTGTCTTTCGCTATACATATAAGATCTATGGCAGTGACACTGTATTTTACGCAGCATCGGCAGAGTGGTGGAAACCGGTGGAGAAGGAACAGTGCAGCCATCACGCGAACCCACATCTCAACCAATTGAACGTGGGCCCCTCAAATATAAGAAGATCAGAACTGGCACTGGCTACACAGCTAGCTAAAATATTACTTGAAGTTATATTATAAATTAGGAAGTTTTATTGCGTTTGGTTTAAAAAATGGGACATTTAGGCGTCCCGAGAGACTTTTTCGGGACACCGGGTACGATCGAGAAAAAACGGGACAATCCCGTTTTACGGGAAGTTTGGTCACCCTATTTTACGCGCAAAAGACTACCCGTGTTTACTCCTCATGCGACCTGCGCCAAGACCCACTCAGTGGACGGTTAACAAAGTTTTAGTGAAGCAGTTTGAAGGAAGGCCCCATGATAAATAACAGAATTACATCATTTAATGAATGTTAGAAGATAGTTAAGAAATAACAATATTTAGATCTAGAGCCGTCACAAGCAAATTCTTAACGGGGGGGGGGGAGGGGGTGATCATTAAATTTAGACACCCTCTTTTGTGTTTTCATGTTTTGGGGATTTACTTTTATTATTTAATTTATATTTTGTTCTGGGTGAAAACAACAATCTTTAAGACATATTATTTAATTTATATTTTGTTCTCTATTAAAACAACAAACATTAAGACGCTATATCCCAGCATACTTTTGCTATCCCTACAAAAAAAAAAAAAAAAAATAAATTAGCCCATCATTCTGCTATTTGAATTTGTTGGTTCATATCGCTTGACTGATACTAACTTAGAGCGAAAACTCGTATCTCTTGATCGTTTTTAATGCATCTTACAGCAACAAGACGGGAATGAAGCGAGTTTCGACTCTGTTTTGTGTTCTCGTTCTTTATGTGGTTGCCTCCAAGGCACAGGAGACGGGCGTTGTCAATACCCCAGCTGGGAGGGTGAGGGGTTTGAAGGTGACCGCAAGTAATGGCCAGTCTCTCTGGACGTTTCGAGGAATCCCATTTGCACAGCCTCCAGTTGGACAGCTACGTTTTGCGAAGCCGCTGCCTTATCCAGCTCAATGTGAGTATCAATTGTTCTTTCAATGATTCTAAGCCATGGCTCGAACCGTTCAATGTTGAGTTGTTTCAGGTCATCTATAAATTATGTACAGTGTTAATTTGACCGATGACCACATCATAACAAATAGTCACAAAAAGTTGACACACTCATCAAACTTCGACACAAATATATTCCCCCTTCACCCACCCTACCTCAAGGCTATCCTCAACTATTTATGAATTCATCAATCCATTGCTTTAACACTTTAAATGCCAGTATCATAAATTATATTCGAGAACACTTCAGATGTTAGCACAAGGGACAAATAGATTATAATGAAAACTTTGTTTGGATTTTTAGTAGGTACTCGGATCTCGATTTCTCCGAATGAAATTTAAGATTGAAAAAAAAAAAAATGTTTCAAATTATTTTTAAACGGTTTTAATAAACATTGAAAGAGTTCGACAACTCTAAAATTTTCTTGATGGAAATCCTCCCACTTTAAGTAAATATCTCTTGAGAATGAATCATTCTTATTCATCTATCTTGTGAAAATGTAGCACTACGAAGTTTCTAAAAATGGTATGTTTAATTTGCTTGGTCAAATTACTGGAAAAGAGATCAATTTCAAAAAATTTTCAAAATGTTGAAATGTTAAAATACGCAAAGCCTATTTTTTTTCTTCTTTAAAGATCAAGAGTCTATTAAAAAAATAATTCTACCCAAATCTTACAAATTATGAACTCAACATAACAGAGCCGGCGCGTGACTTCTAGAGGCCACCTGCCACTTTTCAGTTTTGTGCCCCTGCATCCAAGGTTTATTTGTGCCACACCCCTTCTTTGGTTGGGTCCCTTATATATCCGATGCTTGGCTCCAGCGACAGGGGTAGAAAACCAATGCCAACATTTATTTTTAATAAGTGCAAAAAAGTCATTGTTCTTACATGTTCAATTCTAATTTTTTATACAAACAGCTGAGGTTATAGATGCTACGAGACAGAGAGCTTCCTGTATACAAAGTGATGACAGGCTTTTGCCTAATGAAACAATATCAGAAGACTGTCTGTTTCTTAACGTCTTCCTCAAAGAAATCAATGTCACCCCTCAAGCACGAAAGAAAGTTCTCGTGTACATACACGGTGGGGCTTTCTTCTTGGGATCTTCGATATCTTTTAATCCCGGAAGTATTGTCACGGACCACGACATTATTGTTGTCGTCATTCAGTATCGAATCGGCGCTCTCGGGTTTCTGACGACAAAAAATCAGGCTGCCCCTGGAAACTACGCTCTCTGGGATCAAACTCTAGCATTGAAATGGGTTAAAAACAACATTGGTGCTTTCGGCGGAGACGCAAGTGACGTAACGATTGTAGGAGAATCAGCAGGATCTGTATCCGTGTCACTCCTCACATTGAGTGCAGAGACAAAGGGACTGTTCACCAGGGCTTATTCCGCCAGTGGAGTGGCCATGTCAATTATTACCGACTACAGAAACAGTGACAGCATCATTATGTCCCTGGCTAAATCTCTCAACTGCTGGAACAGAACCGAAGCGTTAAAATTAGATGCAAATACGTCTGTGGAAGTCATTCGTTGCCTTCGAGCCCGCCCAGCTTCGGACTTCACACGAATTCAATTCGCCGATATCTCAAGACCTATCTACATACCTTGGGCAGATGGCGTGTTCATCCCTAGATCTCCGAGGGATCTTTTGAAAGACACGAACTATTTGGAAAGTATAGGATTTTACGACAGGAGATATCTGTACAGCGTGACCAACAACGAAAAATCTGTGCTTGCTGGATTTTTAAATGCAGCCAGGACCTCTATCTACAGTAACAAAAGCCTCACGGGGGAGGAAGCAGAAAAAATTTGGCAAAGAACTCTATCAACTTCAACAAAAACATCTGTGTATGACATACGGGGAGCAGATCAGGCAACGGATAACGTTATTGGCTCAGCTCTACAGTGGTATTCAGCCAGGCTTTTCCCACCCTACGACGTCTACGAACTTCAAGCGGATGTGACCTTTTTTATCCCCACTTTTGATTTTCTCAACGCCATAGCCAAAAGCGGGCGGACGTCCTCCTGGCTCCTGTATTTCAACCACTATCCCAAGCATATCGTATCTGATACCAAAGGAAGTCCACACGGATTAGACCTGGCGTATTGGTTTGACGCCGATGAGGCAACGTTGGATCGCCGTTCAATTGAGAAGTTTGATGATGAGGATGTGAATTTAAAGAAAGTCTTTTCCAGCATTGTAGCAAATTTCGTTAAATTTGGGTGAGTAGTTTTATTTATTCAGTTTTATCATTATTTTATTTTTTTTACAAATTTATTTAAATTTTAATTTTGTTAATTAATTTCCTCATCACAGGCAAGGGTTAAAAAATTAACAAAACACATATACATTCTTTTCGAAAATAAAAGTCAATCAAATTACATGGAAAGGCGATTCTTGTATAGCTCTTTCCCTTTCCCCATCCATCAATTGTTATAATCTATGTAAGCAAAGTGATTGTTTGAATTTTTATATTGTAAAAATTAAACGAAATCATATCAATTACAGTAAATAAATATTTGATATGTAGCTGTTTTATAAAAAAAAATTTCAGGCGGCGCTAGCCGATTGAGTCGTGCCCTCATTAAAGTGGTATGTGATCTTTCCTGTTTATCAAATTAAACACGCAACTCAAAACATGACATTGTGTAACACAGCTAATCAGTTTGCTGCTGGAATTGTCATTTCCAATAAAGTTTCGGTCGGTAAAGCTTACTTTGCAATCATGTAATCCCCAGAAACCCAGAATCCAATCTCCTTGCATTGGGCTCATGTCGATGGAGACCCAACGGCTCGTATTACCTGAACTTTAACCCCAAGCCCACCGTGGAGAGAAATCTGAGGCTCGAACAGAGACAGCTGTGGATGAATGAAGCGTTGGAAACATGTGCAGAGGAAATGGATGACAGATCAGGCTTGAGTTCAAGTGCTCGCAGCATTGTATCTCTTGTTGCTCTCTTATCATCACTATTTGTGTCTTATTTCTCGCTGATTTGATCACTCTGTACATTCCTAATGATCTATAGGTAGACACGTGATAACATCGTCATTGAAATATGTGTTTTGTAAAAATATCCAATCTTTCAACTCTAACTAAATAGTTGTTCTATCTACTTCCAAATACTACCTTCACCATTATGTTTACATCTCTGTGCACCAAGTATAGATATATGGTATTTAATAAACTTGTAGAAACCGAAACGATAGGGGAGTGAATGCGCGGGAGCTTGTCTTCTGAGCTGATGGTCTCCAGCGGCGTACCTAGCTAGAGTCAGTGCCACCCCGGGTGGGCCAATAATTTAGCCCTCACTCCCCCATGCATTCTTGAGTTCAAGCCGTTTGAACGAGTGAACAAAAAAGCTATTGCCCTTTTTCTTCTTTTGATCATGTTAGGTACATTTTCGACTTTGTTTTCTCTTTTCATTAAAGTTCATGCTACTCATTCAGTAGTTACATCTTTCATTTTACATTAGAAACGTATACAATATTTTAACATGTTACTCATGATGGCGTTTGCTTGTCTGAAATTTCGAGTATTTTTTGTTCCTTATCACAGTGTAAACAAGCAATCCCTTTCAACTATCATTTCAATCATTTCAATCATAGCTTTTTTATAAAATTTCTAAGATAAAACATATCCTTTTTGCTATTAATAATACACTAAAATCATGACAATTACATTTGTATGGCTCGTATTGTTTTGGGGTCAGTTTCAACTAATTTATCTTACGTTTTTGTAAAAATTTACTCTTAGCTCCCATTAGGATTAATCAAATTTGTGTTTCCTATCAAAGTTTCAAGCCCTTTCAAAAAAGTTGTGTTGTTTTATGAATTACTTACCGTTTTATGCATACAATTTTAAATTTCTAACCTAATTGCCTAAAAAATAAAAGGGTGTCAAAAACTTCTTTTGCGTGCATTCGAATGATGCGATTTTAAAAGTTTAAAATGCCATGTCGATAACAGCCTCGGGTGCATTTGGGGGTGTTGAATAAAATGTTAATGTTATTAAAAAAAAATTATATTATATTTCATTATGTTAATTTTCTGTGTGTGTAATAAATAATTTTATAATTTCAAGCTTCAAATTGTCTTTTAACAAGATTTTTCTGTACAATATTTTAGGAGTGGGTAGAAATATAGAAACATATATCTTTTTATCAGAAGTTATTTAAATTGCAATGTACCTTGGCGCCTTCAGTAATAGACAACTTAACACGCCGACCAATTTTTGGGTTTTCCCCCCTACTCCACTTGAAAAAAACAACAACCTGAACTGACACCCCTGTTTTTAGAGCTCGATTGGTTGTTTCTGTCAAGAAAAACAAAGCAATTGTGTAAATAAATTTAGAGTAATATCAATATAGTTATGAAATTAAAAAGAAATAATTAAAAAAGTGCTGTATTTTTCTACCCCACCCTCCTCTTTTTTCCCGTATGGTTTTATTTTAGATGATACTTACCATCAGAATATCATCATTAAATAAGTTTCACTATTCACCAATGATTCTTGGAGTATTTATACACGACTCCATGCCTTTGAAAAAAAAAAGATTGACTTCAAAAAGTCAACTTTACTAGCGCTTGGTTAATCATATTTTTAAAATAAATAAATCAAATGATGAACCATGCGCAAACACGATTGACGAAGGTATTATCTAAAGGGATTTCGTTCACACTATTGTCACATTCCCGATCAGATAGACATAAATCGTCTGTTTTGAAAAGCCGACTGGCGTTTATAAATATAAGTATATGTAAATGTGAGACCGAGCTTCAGGAACGGAACTGAGAACAAATAATTTTTTTTTTTTTTTTTTTCTGTTTAAATGATCATTTGGTATCAGGGCCGTGCGAATGAAGAACTCAGAGTTGGGCAAAGCCTGACAACTGCGTCATCAATAAATGATATAGACTTATATAGAAATGAATAAATGACGATTTTTGCGCCCCCCCTCATCTTGGCACCTGAGTTAATTGCCCCATGGCCTTCCCTCCACAGCTCCCCCTTTCCATTTTCGGACTGCCATGCGTGGTGTCGTCATCTGATAATACAACAATAGCATGATGGTTTAATACGCTACTTTTTGTGGTCAAGCCAAAATGTTGGTGACAAAAGAGAGGAAAGGCGCCCCAAAGCTTGTACTGGGAAAAACAAGAACGCAGTACAGGAGCTCCTCATTCCTGCCAAAGACAATAAGGGACTGGAACACGCTTCCAAAACCAACAGTTTAGACGACTACACTTGACACATTTGCAGCTTTTGCCTCCTGTCTTCTAAACCCAGTTCATGAAACCCTTGCTGAGTAGCCCTTGAAACCATTGAAGTGTTCCCTTGAAAACCATGCACAGTAACATCGCGAAGCCCTCTGAAAAATAAGAACCATAATGATTAATTCACTGATCGTGGGCCCTCAAAATATAGAAGAAGAATGGCGAGAGTCAACTTTTAAATCAGAATTATTGTGACGCAGAGAGAGGTTTATGGTAATTTGGAGACATTGTTTCCAATGACACATATTTCTTCTCGCCAAAGTACAAAGATGATGGACTGCTATGCATCTTAAACAATTCTATTGAGGAATTAAATTTAATTCACAGTTTGAAAACAACTTCGAGGTCACTTACCACAGTCAACCAGGAGAGCACTAGTGATCTGTAGCCGCATTGCGAAATAGTCACTTGACATGCCCAAAGGTTGAAAACCAGCGTCATTAGTGTTTGTATTTGCATGAGACTGGGGTGAAAACATAATTCCATGTCATGATTCAATCACGTGACTTTCGTGTTTGTCTTTGCATGAGACCGGGTTGAAGACATAATGCAATGTCATGATTCAATCATGTGACAGGGAAAACCTGACCAGCTCGGGTAGATTTTATCAAGGGCCCATGCTCTGTTTACCCTGGCTTAAAGTGGGCTTCGTTGACTGTAGATATGGGGAGTACAGGGTCGGAGTGCATTAATTGTGCAGGATCAGGTTATTTTAATTGTAACGATGCTTTTATCTAGCGCCACCTTGTCAATGTAAGTCGTGTCGAGCTCCGTAAGATGATAAAGAAATTATCTCTAACATGTCTTAAGTAATCATTCATATGTATACGTCAAAAAAAATGTCTAACATTATTTTTTTTATGTGGATGCTCTATTTTTTTACGAAGTGGCTATTCATACCCGGGTACCAGAAACCCGGTTAAACTTAATTCTTCAGTTTAACTAAAATAAACTACCACAAATGACATCCGAATAGCACTCAGTCAAAATGGACCCAGACACGCAGCGCCGCCATTCGCACCCGTGTACCATTAGGCTTAAGATGTAAATTTAGAAACATATAGTCCATTCAACTATCTTTCATTTGATACCTCATTTTGTCTTACAAACCCAACGATATAATTTTAAAGATTTTTTAAAAAATCCCAACTTCTCACTTCTGGTACCCGGGTACGAATAGTCGCAGCCATTTTTCAAATCTAGGTCATTATATTTCCAGTGTAGTGACGGTAGAGGCTTCACTGAGGTCATGTCGCCCTTTATCTGGTAGACGGCGCCGAGGTCATGGAAAGTGTCATGATTTCGAGAATTGAAAACATGTTATGGTAATTTGGTCCCATTTCACCATGTATTTACAAGAGACAGGCTGGGATTTTAACGAGAAGATTGCCAACACAGCTCCGGCTTTTGCTATCATTAAAAAAAAATTACATTTTATTCATAATTTCTTTGAATAAATTAATGGGGAAAATTGATTTAGCGATCCTAAAAAAGATCTCTTAAAGATTTGAAATGGTCAATAGAAAAAAAAGAGCATATTATTCATCTATGGGGAACAAAAACAACTGGTAACTCCCCAAAGGAACCTGTCCTCATGACCAATAGTAAGGATGATTTCGGAAACACTGGTTTTCATCTTACAAACCAGTATGGTATTTGCAGTTATGAAGTGGTCGTGGGACGGTTCGACCTTAAGGGCATGTTTTAGTCCAACGGAATGAATTATCATTATCTTTTATCTCTCTGCATTTCGACTCTAGAGAAATGGTACTTATAAGTACCATAGATTTTAAAATATCGTGACATATTTTATGAAAGGCCAAATGGCTGTTTTTTTATATAGTTTGTTAGCCCTGACGGGACCCTAACTTTACAAAAAAATAAATACCATTTTTATTTTATTGCATATTTTTTGTATTTAAAGATTTTTTTGACTAGGCGAAAAATAAAAACAAGTATTATAACCTTAAAAAGACCGAACACCTTTTAAGCGTTCTTGAGGATCTGTTATCATTTTAACGTATCTTGTTTTAATACTTTGTAATAATCAATTTATTTCATTATCACCCTTGGCCAACAAGTAAACTTTTGCTTGCAATCATCAAATCTTGGATGGAAAGTAAATTAAAGACAAGACTTGCTTCCGAGCGTAACTCAGGTATCGCCAGAAACACACGCGCCGGGAATTCCAATGTAAGCCATTCTAAACCGTGCATTCAGACAAGTTACCTCAACTTAAGCTGCGATCCTGACGCAAGGTAAGAATTTAATATGTTAAACGATCACTTAGTGTATCCACGTTTTAACATTTTATAACTATAAATATCTGCACCGTGCTGTGAGACTTATTCTTTCTGTTTCACCTTAAACTCCATGTTGTTTAATAGTCGTTCTATTTCTGGATCTAGGCGCATCTAGTACATACGTCTACCTGCTGCTCGACTCAGACTTTGGCCAGCCTAACGAGCATACAACTAACTTAAGTAAAACACGTCGGAAGATAGAATGAAGCATGAATATCTTGAATTATACATGAAGATAGAATGAAGCATGAATATCTTGAATTATACATGAAGATAGAATGAAGCATGAATATCTTGAATTATACATGAAGATAGAATGAAGCATGAATATCTTGAATTATACATGAAGATGGAATGAAGCATGAATATCTTGAATTATACATGAAGATGGAATGAAGCATGAATATCTTGAATTATACATGAAGATGGAATGAAGCATGAATATCTTGAATTATACATGAAGATGGAATGAAGCATGAATATTTTGAATTATACATGAAGATGGAATGAAGCATGAATATTTTGAATTATACATGAAGATGGAATGAAGCATGAATATCTTGAATTATACATGAAGATGAAACGAAGCATGAATATCTTGAATTATACATGCAGATGGAATGAAGCATGAATATTTTGAATTATACATACCTCCTTCTATTTAAATTTTTAATGTAGGCTTAATATAAAATCAATTTTGGGAATCAATTTTAACATATTTGTATATTTTATAATCTTCATAATAGGATGAGATTAAAACAGAGTATCAAATCTAAAATGATGTCTCGTCTCTAAGAATAGAAGAAAGACAAAAAGAGTTAAAAAGTATGTTTACTTTAAAAATTGTTTATTTTTCCCTTCAAATTTTTAATATATGTTTTGAATTAACAAAATCCATCAGCGAGGGATTAGTTAGCATTTATCGATTACTTAAACTTTGTATCTTAAAGCAACAAGGCGGGAATGAAGCAAATTTCGACTCTGTTTTGTATTCTCGCCCTTCATGTGTTTTCCTCCGAGGCACAGGAGACGGAAGTTGTTAAAACACCCGCAGGGAGGCTGAGGGGTTTGAAGGTGACCGCAAGTAATGGCCAGTCTCTCTGGGCGTTTCGAGGAATAACTTTTGCACAGCCTCCTGTTAGACAGCTGCGTTTTTCTAAGCCTTTGCCTTTTCCCGTACAATGTGAGTATCAGATGCTCATCTATACCATTGCCTTTTCCCCGTTCAACGTTAGTATCAGATGTTCATCTATCAATGCCATAGGCTAAAGGGCTGTCAACGTTGTCCACCCTCGTGAAGCTAACTTCCACGATAATCTGTCCTGTATCTGATTAAAATAAAATTGTATTTAAAATAAAACGAACACCATAAAATATCTAATAAGAATCGAGCTATTTTTACCCTTTACTTCCTTTAACGTTATTAGGGTTGGTGTCGTCACCTAAGGCCGCGGCTATTGAATTTTCACCTCGGACTTTATCCCAGTCCCCTTTACCCTAAGCATAAATAGTAACCTAAATTTCAATAGGACAGAGGAGGAAATAGCTTCCGCTAGTTTTAGCGTTGAACATCAAACTTTAAGGACAAAGCTTTCCTTTAGTTTTTGAGGCTACAAACATATAAATCAACTCACCAATCATGTCACTGGGGGGCCGAGCGGTCTATACTGACTCAATCCCAATAGCTGTTTCCCTGGAGCTCAAGCCTCACCAAAGCCAAGACAAGCAGAAACACCCCAAGCAACCCGGGTGCCTCGGACTCGCTAACCTTGGACGGCAACCAATGTTCCCTTTAAGTGTCGCTGATCCAGGCATGAGGCAAGGAGCAGCACAACGTTAAAGTGCTAAAGAAGACCAGGTTAAAATTTTGATTGACAACGTCCTCTTGGCTATCAACATGAACACTCATAGCTGGCGCAGGAAGAATAACGCTTTTTGTGTTTGCTTAGTTTATCAATTCCGTAGTGAATGATGCTATAATTAGCGAACTTCGTAATGCAAAGTTCCACACATTAACAGCAGATGAAAGCACTGATATATCGCTGACAAAAAATTGATTTTGTACACAAAGAAAGTTGCGGCCATATCCCGGTAATGTTTACAAGACAGGGTTTGTTGGCATGTTCTCTCTGTCGGCATGTGACAGTAAATCTGTGGAATCAGCAATAACAGAGTTTTATCCAGAGAATTCATTGGACATGCAGAAAATGGTCATATTTATCTCTGATGGTGCATCGGTAATGCTAGGCAAGAACAATGGAGTTGCAGCAATTGTTCGCCGAAGTATTCCACAGCTACAGGAACAACATTGCATTGCTCATCGTGAAGATTTAGGCATCGATGATGCTTGCAAACATATAAGTTAAATGGCAGACATTGAAAGATTCCTAAGGACATTGTTCAGTATAAGGTGGACAGTACGGAAAGCCCTGTTTGCCGAACTAGCTATGGTGTAGGAATGGGATTCCGTAGCCTTTATACCATTGAATGAAATCAGATGGCTTTCCCTGCACTTTGCTTTACGAGCATTGCTGAGAAACATAAACGTATTGACTGAATACTGTGAGGAGAAGGCGGGCCTGTATAAAGATCCAGTTCATAAGTAATTTTTGAAAAAACTAAGGGATCCGCAATTTCGAACTGCACTGATTGTCCTTGATGAAGTTGCTGCTGAACTTGCTGAGTTATGCAAGCTACTAAAAAGAAAAAAAAACATCAAGGCCTTTCAGTTTGTAACAGCAAGGATCCTTAAGCTCCGTGTCCAGTACCTTGGTAAAAATGTGCACTGGTCCAAGAAGTTTGCTGAATTGCTTGCGAATGACGAGGATATAAATGTGAGTTCCATCTTAAAAATCTTTGATTGTTTATGTTTTAACCTGGACTCTCGTTTCCCTGAAAGCGTTGATGCAATGGAGAATCTTTGAGATATTAGCGTTAATCGACACTTTAGATTTTAATTTTGGCCAAGAATAACTTGCAGTACCATTTTTTAGATATGCGGCATTCATGGAAAATCATGATGGCATTCTGCCGAAAGTTAAGGATCAGTACTTTTACTTAAGGTTTGTGCTTGCAGAAAAATGAGATGTGTGTTGATGCAGACTTTCGACGAGATGTTTCGATTTGTAATAAATGAGGAGTTATTCGGTGACATTGTCATTCTGTTGGATATTTATGCTACATTTCTTACAACAAACCCCGATTGTGAACGTGGATTCAGCCTAATGTATTATATAAAAATAAGGTTAAAAAATAGGCTGAAAGAGTGACATTTAGACATGCTTATGAGGATTAAGTCGTATCACAATGATCGACATCAGGTCAACCGTGGCGATGTGTATAAAAGATGAATATTGTTGAAAGACAGACGCCAGAGTACCTCCAGAAACGAGTCAATCATATGAAAAGCGGCCATTGGTAGTGGGTGTGTTAGAATTTAGTTGCTTGACCCAAAGACGGGATAAATAATAGAAATAAATATAGCTTTGATTGAAATATTGTGATATTTATGATTATAATTATTAAATTATAGTTCCTTTATTTATTTATATAAAAGTTTTTGCACTTAAGTTCATTTATGTAATTTCCGTGTGTGTGTGTTTGTGGGCTGACACATAAGAGAATGCAAACTCTGAATTCAAACCAGGAGCCAGAATGATCAATAAACTGATCGTGGGCCATCAAAAATAGGGGGAAAAAAGTCTGATCAAGTCATTAATGTGAAATTCGTCGGAAAACCAAACTTTAATATAAATATATGGATCCTTGCTCATTAAGGCACAGACATGACCCGCAATACATCATTGTGGCACAGACATTCCCCACAATAATCATTGTGGCTCATATATATTATTATGGCTTCGTCCATTGTTGTCCAGCCTACTGTTATGAGAGGTTTTCGATTTTTTACATCATCGTGATCGGGTCTCCTCGAAACAAAGTCTCTGACACAACGCCGACAGAAACTAACTCAGTGGAGCAATATATCCATTTGACGGCCTGTTGACGGGATTTGCGCCATTGGCAAGTGGGTGCATATAAAAATTTATCCTTGCCAGTCGTTAGTTAGCCAACTTTCCCTGTTCACAGGTTTTCAATGTCTTTGGCGGAGTGGGGGTGCTGACGGACCCTGATATTTTGTAAACCTATTTAAGTGAACACTCGACTCAGTCATGCATGACTGTCAGGGCGCAACCAGAGAAGTTAAAAAGAAATGCCTATTCACGACGGGCTCTAAAGTTATATAAATATACTGGGGGGGGTGTCACTAAATGTGGTATATCTCCTTAAACAAATGAACGATTTTGTCAAAATGGGACCCAAATAAGGCGAAATATCAAAATTACCAAATACAATGTTTTTTTTAAAAAGGTAAAATGGGATACCAATATTTTATTCATTCCTAAAAGAGCCATGGCGTAAAATAAATTAAAAACAAGGTCGCTCTCAATACAAGGGGAGAGAAGCACTGATCACCCGATGCAACATTTGCCGGAAACACACAAACTGGGATCTCTACATATAAGCTGATTGCTCTTGTGCAGCCACAATCGACATACCCCCGTTAAAACTTTACATTGTACAAGGTAAGAGCTGAATAATAACTAATGTATACATGTGTTTAGTTTTCCAGAGTTGACAATAGATGTAGACCTTGACACGATAGTATGCATTATTTTTAATCTTTGCGTGCTCGGCAGCAGTTTTAACAACATGCACAAAATATTTACTTTTTAATGGAGGCTGTAATTTTTGTGTGTTTAGACTTCTAAATGTTTTTCTTTTCTTTTTTTTTTTTTTGGTCCTAATTTGTTGGTTTTACGCTAGGGTGACCAAATCATGAACTGGAGAAAACGGGACACACACAAGGAGGGTCGTTTAAGGGGGATACGCTCCAGTTAAAGAGGGCTTTGGCGGCCTCCGTCGTAAAGTGCTTATTGAAATATGTTCATTTTAACTATTTTGAGACCTAGAAATCAATCGTTTAAATTTACTTTCACCATATTACACGTAGCTGTATCAAAATGGGCTTCTGTGCAGTTACCCCTCACCCCCCCCCCCACAAACCCGGCTTCAAGTCTCGTGTTTACGCAGCGTCGGCAGAGTGGTGGAAATATTTTGAGACCTAGAAATCAATCGTTTAAATTTACTTTCACCATATTACACGTAGCTGTATCAAAATGGGCTTCTGTGCAGTTACCCCTCACCCCCCCACCCCACAAACCCGGCTTCAAGTCTCGTGTTTACGCAGCGTCGGCAGAGTGGTGGAAACTGGTGGAGAGGAAACAGTGCAGCCATCACGCGAGTCCACATCTCAACCAATTGAACGTGGGCCCCTCAAATATAAAAAGAAGAAGATCACTACTGGCACTGGCTACACAGCTAGCTAAAATATTACTTGAAGTTATGTTATAAATTAGGAAGTTTTATTGATTTGAAATGTGTTTGGTTTTAAAAAATGGGACATTTAGGCGTCCCGAGACTTTATTTGGGACACCGGGTACGATCGAGAAAAAACGGGACAATTCCGTTTTAACGGGACATTTGTCACCCTATTTTATGCGCAAAAGACTCCCCGTGTTTACTCCTCATGCGACCTGCGCCGAGACCCACTCAGGGGATGGTTAACAAAGTTTTAGTGAAGCAGTTTGAAGAAAGGCCCCATGATAAATAACAGAATTACATCATTTAATGAATGTTGGAAGATAGTTATTAAATAACAAGATATAAATCTAGACCCGTCACAAGCAAAATCTTAGCCGGGGGGAAGGGGGGCAAAACTTTAAATTTAGGCAGCCTCTTCTGTGATTTCAAGATTTGGAGAAAATACTTTTATTAGTTGATCTATATTTTGTTCTCGATGAAAACAAAAATCTTTAAGACGCTATATCCCCGCAAAGTTTTGCTATCCCCACAAAAAAATAAATAAAAAAATAAATGAGCCCCTCATTCAGCTAGTTGAATTTGTTGGTTCATATCGCTTGACTGATACTAACTTAGAGCGAAAACTCGTATCTGTTGATCGTTTTTACTGCATCTTACAGCAACAAGACGGGAATGAAGCGATTTTCGACTCCGTTTTGTGTTCTCGTTCTTTATGTGGTTGCCTCCAAGGCACAGGAGACGGGCGTAGTCAATACCCCAGCCGGGAGGTTGAGGGGTTTGAAGGTGACCGCAAGTAATGGCCAGTCTCTCTGGGCGTTTCGGGGAATCCCATTTGCACAGCCTCCTGTTGGACAGCTGCGTTTTGCCAAGCCACTGCCATATCCAGATCAATGTGAGTATCAATTGTTCTTTCAATGATTCTAAGCCTTGGCTCGAACCGCTCAATGTTGAGTTGTTTCAGGTCATCTATAAATTATGTACAGTGTTAATTTGGCAGATTATTTAACCACATCAAAACAAATAGTCACACAATAGTTGACACAATCATCATACGATGTCACAAATATCTCACCCTTTTCCCCACCCTACCTCAAGGCTATCATCAACTATGTATAAATTCATCAATCCATTGCCATAACATTTTCAGTGTCAGTATCATAAATTACTCTCGAGAACACTTCAGATGTTAGCACAAATGACAAATAGATTATAATGAAAACTTTGTTTGGAATTTTTGTAGGTAATCGGATCTCGATTTTTCCGAATGAAATTTAAGATTTAACAAAAAAAAATATATATGTCAAATTATGTTTAAACGGTTTTAATAAACATTGAAAGATTTCGACAACTCTAAAATTGTTCTGTTTAAAATCCTCCCACTTAAGGTAAATCTCTCTTATGAATGAATCAGTCTTATTCATGTATTTTGTGAAAATGTAACTCTACGAACTTTCTGAACGTTGTATGTATAATTTTCTTGGTTACTTTACTGGATAAGAGATCATTTCGCAAAAGTTTTTCATAATGTTAAAATGTTAAAATACGCAAAACCTAACCTATTTTTTTTAAAGATCAAGAGTCTATAAAAAATAATTCTACCCAAATCTTTTAAATTAAATACTCAGCATAGAAAAGCCGGTGAGTGACTTCTAGAGGCCACCTGCCACTTTTTCAGTTGTATGCCCCTGCATTCAGGATTTATTTGTGCCACACCCCTTCTTTAGTTGAGTCCCTTATATATCCGATGCTTGGCTCCAGCGACAGGGGTAAAATAGCAATTCCACCATTTATTTCAATAAGTGCAAAAAAGTCACTGTTTTTACATGTTCAATTATAATATTTTTTCCAAACAGCTGACGTTATAGATGCTACGAGACAGAGAGCTTCCTGTATACAAAATGATCAAAGGCTTTTGCCTAATGAGACAATATCAGAAGACTGTCTGTTTCTTAACGTCTTCCTCAAAGAAATCAATGTCAGCCCTCAAGAACGAAAGAAAGTTCTCGTGTTCATACACGGTGGGGCTTTCTTCTTGGGATCTTCGATATCTTATAATCCCGGAAGTATAGCCACGGACCACGACATTATTGTTGTCGTCATTCAGTATCGACTCGGTGCTCTCGGGTTTCTAACGACAAAAAATCAGGCTGCCCCTGGAAACTACGCTCTCTGGGATCAAACTCTAGCATTGAAATGGGTTAAAAACAACATTGGTGCTTTCGGCGGAGACGCAAGTGACGTAACGATTGCAGGACAATCAGCAGGGTCGATGTCCGTGTCGCTCCTCACACTGAGTCCAGAGACAAAGGGACTGTTCACCAAGGCTTATTCTGCCAGTGGAGTGGCCATGTCAAGCTTTACCGACTACAGAAACAGTGACAGCATCATTATGTCCCTGGCTAAATCTCTAAACTGCTGGAACAGAACCGAAGCGTTAAAATTAGATGCTAACAAGTCTGTGGAAGTCATTCAGTGCCTTCGCGCCCGCCCAGCTTCGGACTTCACACGAATTCAATTCACCGATATCTCAAGACCTATCTACATACCCTGGGCAGATGGTGAGATTATTCCTAAATCTCCGAGGGATCTGATGAAAGACACGAACTACTTGGAAAGTATCGGATTTTACGACAGGCGATATCTCCACAGCGTGAACAACAACGAAAAATCTGTGCTTGCTGGATTTTTAAATGAATCCAGGACCTCTATCTACAGTAACAAAAGCCTCACGGGGGAGGAAGCAGAAAAAATTTGGCAAAGAACTCTATCAACTTCAACAAAAGCATCCGTGTATGACATGCGGGGAGCGGATCAGGCAATGGATAACGTTATTGGCTCAGCTCTACAGTGGTATTCAGCCAGGCTTTTCCCACCCTACGACGTCTACGAACTTCAAGCGGATGTGACCTTTTTTATCCCCACTTTTGATTTCATCAACACCATAGGCAAAAGCGGGCGGACGTCCTCCTGGCTCCTGTATTTCAACCACTATCCCAAGCATATCACACCTGATATTAAAGGAAGTCCACACGGATTGGACCTGGCGTATTGGCTCGACGCCGATGAGGCATCGTTGCGTCGCCGATCAATTGAGAAGTTTGATGATGAGGATGTGAATTTAAAGAAAGTCTTTTCCAGCATTGTAGCGAATTTCGTTAAATTTGGGTGAGTAGTTTTATTTATTCAGTTTAATATTAATTTTTTTTTTTTTTTACAAAGTTATTTAAATTTTGATTTTGTTAATTAATTGCGTCATCACAGGCAGATGTTAAAGTAAATGAACGAAACGCTTATCCATTTTTTTTCTAAAACGAAAGTAAATCCCATTGCATGGAAAGTCGATTCTTGTAGACCTCTTTCCCTTTCCTCTACCATACATTGTCACAACCTATGTAAGCGAAGGAATTGTTGCAATTTGTATACTGTAAACATTAAAAGAAATCATTATAATTACAGTAAATAATATTTGATATGTAGCTGTTTTATAAAAAAAAAAATTCAGGCGACGCTCATCGATTGAGTCGTGCTCTCATTAAAGTCCTCTTTCATCTTTCCTGTTTATCAAATTAAACACGCAACTCAAAACATGACATCGTGTCATACAGCTAATCAGTTTGCTGCTGGAATTGTCATTTCCAATAAAGTTGCGGTCGGTAAAGCTTACTTTGCAATCATGTCATCCCCAGAAACCCAGAATCCAATCTCCTTGCATTGGGCTCATGTCGATGGAGACCCAACGGCTCGTATTACCTGAACTTTAACCCCAAGCCCACTGTGGAGAGAAATCTGAGACGCGAACAGAGACAGCTGTGGATGAATGAAGCGTTGGAAACGTGTGCAGAGGAAATGGAGGACAGATCAGGCTTGAGTTCAAGTGCTCGCAGCATTGTATCTCTTGTTGCTCTCTTCTCATCACTATTTGTGTCTTATTTCTCGCTGATTTGATCACTCTGTACATTCCTAATGTCCTATAGGTAGACACGTGATAATATCGTCATTGAAATATGTGTTTTGTAAAAGTATCCAATCTTTCAAATCTAATTAAATAGTTGTTCTATCTTGCTTCCAAATACTACCTTCACCATTATGTTTACATCTCTGTGCACCAAGTATAGATATATGGTATTTAATTAAGTTGTAGAAACCGAAACGATAGGGGAGTGAATGCGCGGGAGCTTGTCTTCTGAGGTAATTGTCTCCAGCGGTGTACCTAGCTAGAGTCAGTGCCACCCTGGGTGACCCAAGAATTTAGCCCCCCCCCCCTCCACGAAAAAAATCTTCAGTTGCCAGAAATAGTTGCTCTATATAAAGAAAATAGTCGCGGCACGCCTACTCCTCACTACTCACTAAGTATTCATGCATTCTTGAGTTCAAGCCGTTTGAGCGAGTGAACAAAAAAAACAAAGCTACTATACTTTTTCTGCTTGTGATCATGTTAGGTAAATTTTCGACTACGTTTTCTCTTTTCATGAAAGTTCAAGTCATAAAATATGTTTTGGTTTACTTATTCAGTAGTTACATCTTTCATTTTAGATTAGAAACTTATAAAATACTTTAACATGTTACTCATGACGTGGTTTGCGTGTCTGAAATTTCCTTTTTTTTTGTGTATGTTCCTAATCACAGTGTAAACAAGCAATCCCTTTCAACTATCATTTCAATCATAGCCTTTTAGAAATTTCTAAGGTAAAACATATTCTTTCTCGCTATTACTAATACACTAAAAATCATGACCATTACATTGGACTGGTTGGTATTGTTTTGGGGTCAGTTTCAAGCTAATTTATCTATGCTTTTTGTAACATTTTTCTCTTAGCTCACATTTGGATTAATCAATTTGTGTTTCCTATCAAAGTTTCAAGCCCTTTAAAAAATCTGGGTTGTTTTATGAATTATTAACCGGTAAGTGCAAACAATTTTAAAATTACTAACCTAATTGCTTACAAAAGAAAAAGGGCGACACAAAACTTCTTTTGCGTGCATTCGAATGATACGAGTTTAAAAGTTTAAAATGCCATGTCAATAACAGCCTCTGGTGCATTTGGGGGTGTTGAATAAAATGTTCATGTTATTCGTAAAATTTATTTTTATATTATACTTCATTATATTAATTTTCTGTGTTTATAATAAAAAAAATTTCTAATTTCAAGCTTTAAAGTTTCTTTGAACAACATTTTTTTTACAATATTTTAGAAGTGGGTAGAAATATATATACATATAACTTGCTCTTTGTTCGCTTGAAGAATAAATAAGTCAAGGGAGGGGGGGGTGGCCTGAATATTTTTTTTTCTGAAAAAAGAAGCAGTAAGCAAAATAAGTTTTGATAAATAAATCAAATGATGAACCATGCGCAAACACGATTGACGAAGGTATTATCTAAAGGGATTTCGTTCACACTATCGTCACATTCCCGAGCAGATCGACATAAATCGTCTGTTTTGAAAAGCCGACTGGCGTATATAAGTATATGTAAATGTGAGACCGAGCTTCAAGAACGGAACTGAGAACAATAAAGTTTGTTATTTTTGTGTGCAAATGATCATTTGGTATCAGGGCCGTGCGAATGAAAAACTCCAAGTTGGGTGAAGTCTGACAACTGCTTCATCAATAAATCATATAGACGCATATAGAAATGAATAAATGACGATTTTGCCCCCCCCCCCTCATGTTGCCACCTGAGCAAATTACCCCATGGCCTTCCCTCCACCCCCTTTCCATTTTTGGACTGCCGTGCGTGGTGTCGTCATCTGATAATACAACAATAGCATGATGGTTTAACACGCTACTTTTTGTGATCAAGCCAAAATGTTGGTGACAAAAGAGAGGAAAGGCGCCCCAAAGCTTGGACTGGGAAAATGGCAAGAGTCAACTTTTAAATCAGAATTGTGACGCAGAGAGATGTTTATGCTAATTTGGAGACATTGTTTCCATTGACACATATTTCGTCTCGCCAAAGTACAAAGATGATGGACTGCTATGCATCTTAAGCAATTCTATTGAGGAATTAAATTTAATTCCCAGTTTGAAAACAATTTCGAGGTCACTTACCACAGTCAACCAGGAGAGCACTAGCGACCTGTAGCCGCATTGCGAAGGAGTCACGTGATATCCCCAAAGGTTGAAAACCAGCGTCATTAGTGTTTGTATATGCATGAGACTGGGGTGAAAACATAATTCCATATCATGATTCAATCACGTGACTTTCGTTTTTGTCTTTGCATGAGACCGGGTTGAAGACATAATGCAATGTCATGATTCAATCATGTGACAGGGAAAACCTGACAAGCTCGGGTAGTTTTATCAAGGGCCCGTGCTCTGTTTACCCTGGCTTAAAGTGGGCTTCGTCGACTGTAATTATGGGAATACAGGTCGGAGTGCATTAATTGTGCAGGATCAGGTTATTTTAAGTGTAATGGGGCTTTTATCTAGCGCCACCTTGTCCATGTAAGTCATTTCGAGCTCGGCAAGTTGATAAAGAAATTATCTGTAACATGTCTTAAGTAATCATACATATGTATACGTGGAAACAAATGTCTAGCCTTATTATTTTTTTTTATTTAATTGCTCTATTTTTTTACGAAGTGGCTATTCATACCCGGGTACCAGAAACCCGGTTAAACTTAATTCTTCAGTTTAACTAAAATAAACTACCACAAATGACATCCGAATAGCACTCAGTCAAAATGGACCCAGACACGCAGGGCCGCCATTCGCACCCGGGTACCATTAGACTCAATAAGTAAGTTTACAAACATATAGTCCATTCAATGACATTTAATTTGATACCTCATTTTGTCTTACAAACCCAACGATATAATTTTAAAGATTTTTTTTTAAAATCCCAACTTCTCACTTCTGGTACCCGGGTACGAAAAGTCACAGCCTTTTTTAACAAAATCTAGGTCATTATATTTCCTGTGTAGTAACGGTGGTGGCTTCACTGAGGTCATGTCGCACTTTACCTGGTAGACGGCGCCGAGGTCATGGAAAGTGTCATGATATCGAGAATTGAAAACATGTTGTGGTAATTTGGTTTCATTTCACCATATATTTACAAGAGACAGGCTTGAAATTTTCATGAGAAGAATGCCAGCATAGCTCCACCTTTGCTATTATTTTTTTTTTTTTAAATTACATTTTTTCATAATTTCTTTAAATGAATTAATGTGAAAAATTGATTTAGCGATCCTAAAAAAGATCTCTTAAAGATTTGAAATGGTCAATAGGAAAAAAAATGCAGTAGAACCCTCTCAATCCCAAGAAGCAAAACTAAGACCATCGGTGAACGCTCCTTCAACTTCCATGGGCCCACGTTCTGGAACCAGCTCCCCTTCCATATCCGTCATTGTGAAATCTCGTCCATTTTCAAAAAGTCCCTTAAAACTCATCTGTTTAGGTCCGCCTATGACCTGTGATGCACCCTCCTTGCCCTGCCTCATATTCTGTTTCGGGTTGATCCTGCAGTATAGGCCAAAACGTGTCAAAGTGTCCTCGTTTTATAGCCATTTTCATTGTTTCTATAGTATAGTAGTTACTATCCTAGTGTCTCATTTTTATTTTACTTAGTTTACATGTTTTTAATAATTGTAAAGCGCTTAGAGCTTTATGGTAAGCGCTATATAAAAATGCCTAAATAAATAAATAATAAATAAATATTATTCATTTATGGGGAAAACAACAACTGATAACTACCCAAAGGAACATGTCCTCATGATGATATCGGGGATGATTTCGGAAACACTGGTTTTCATCTTACAAACCAGTATGGTATTTGCAGTTATGAAGTGGTCGCGGGACGGCTTGACTCTAAGGGCATGTTTCAGTCCACCGGAATGAATTACCATTATTTTTTATACTGCTTTTACACGCCACGCAAATTTTAATTTTTTTTCTTATAAAAAAATATTTTTAATAAAATTTTTCTTCTTAAACTATCTTGTCTTGATTTGATTTTAGAATTCATGTGTATTTTTTTCATGTATACTTGTTTTTTTTGTTTGTAGAAATATAATGCATTTATTCTCATAGGTCGTGTGTGTTATTTAAGTTATGTCCTCTTCAACCGGGAAGACGTCAAGATGAGGTAAATCTACCGACTTGACACAGTTGGTAATGCATCAGTTTTTGCCCTTTTTGTTTCCAAGAAAACTACCCAGACGTGCATGAAGGAAACATTTCTGTCACACCTGTGCAAAAGAAAAGGTTTCAATGGACCATGAGGCTATAAGGTTGAATAAGTTTGTATAATTTTGTCTGTGTGTCAGAATATGCGCAATGTGTAAAATATTATAAAGGTACACATGCATACTGAGAAAGGGTCTACAGGTAATTGAATAGGCAGATAAACTGACTGACAATAAAACTGACTGGAAATTAAACTGACTGACAATTAAACTGACAGCCAACTAAACTGACTGACAATTAAACTGACAGACAATTATTCTGACAGGTAATTAAACTGACAATTAAACTGACTGACAATTAAACTGACAGGTAATTAAAATGACAGACAATTTAACTGAATGACAATTAAACTGACAAACAATTAAACTGACATGTAATTTAAATGACAGGCACTTAACCTGACTGACAATTAAACTGACAGACACTTAAACTGACAGGTAATTAAACTGAAAAATAAATTGACGGACAATTAAACTGACAATGCAATAAAAATAAAAAAAATCCATTTGTTTGGATCAATGAAAGAAACTTTATCTTATCTTAAAAACGAACGTTTAAAAAAATAAAATATTTTACTAATGAATCTATAGCGCAAAAGATAAAATGTACAGTGTCTTTATCCCTACAGTGCCGTTCCTCATCTAGCTGTATAGAAATTTAAAAGGGTACCAAGAGGTTATCATTCATCATCTGTTCATTCCAACTGTCATCTATGTAACAATGATGGCCAGTGTGAAGAATGGGAAAGACTTTCTACTCATCTCTGCTGCATTGAAGAGGAATGCGAATGATCGCAGTTGCTCAGCTATAAGAACATGCACCAGAAGTTTGTTGACCAGCCAATGCTCAAATTCCAAAGACACGCCGATACAGCTGCGAGGTTGTCAGGACTTTCTGAGTCTGTTGGTGATCCGCCCAGCTGGCCTAGAGACACGATCTTCAACCCAAAACACAAAGTAAATAAAAACCTTTATCGGTTTCTTATGTTTGGTGACAGCATGCTTTAATAAGCAGTTCGATGGGTAACTATATAATATTTTGTTCGTCCTTCACATGCAAAGATGACCATGGATATATGACACGGCTTGCACCTCTAAGCATAAACTTATTCCTTATTAAATTTTTTTTTAAAGTTTTAACTCCAGCAGTACGTGGTAATGTTGGTGTCGATATTTATTTGATTTTAAAATTTTTCCACATAACATGTTTATTTGAGTTTCGATGCCGCGAAAGATCATATGCGTTGTCTGATGAGCGATCAAGCTCTACTTTAGACAACATTAGCTTGTTAGGGAGCCGATAATTTCGATCACACATAGACGAATGAAACAACACATTTCGTAACTTGTAATTTTATTTGTAAGTTATAAGACTAACATAAAGGTAATGACAGAATCCGTTTGGTTTGTTCATGGGAAAAAACTTCGCTGTTTACTGCACTACTTAAGTGTTGTTTTTTTTCTTGGTTAGTGACCACCTCAGAGTTAGCAAAGCACTCTGTCGGATTGAACCCTGCTAAGACTGCTCTTGGGCTTATTATTATTTCCTTTTTGAGCCACTATATGACAGCGATGTATTGCAATAAATTCTCTTGATTCTTTTTCGAGTTTAAAAAGAGTATTAATCTACATGTTTTCATTGATTTCGTCTCAATGTAACAATAACGAATTTGGTGGCATAGAGTATGTAAGGGAAGCTACCCAAAAATAGCATTTCACGAAGAATAGCGTATATTACTTCCCCTGCTTCCCTAAGGTGACATATCTTTATCTAATAACACACCTTCCATTAGTTTCCTTTTTTTTTTCCTTCTGCAGAATGCAAATAGGAGAGAAGTTTTGATGGAAGATTAAGTCATTTACTAACAACATTAATGCAACAGTTTAAGTCCAGCACCGTAAACAGATAATTTTAGAATTATTTCCAATCACCACAAACCAAGCAGCGAACAACAATCCCATGGAGAGAAAGTCTTGAGATTTTGACAAAATAAAATATAATTAAAATACAGATATTGTAAATATCGTCCTCTATTTTTTGGTTATACAAAAGATAAATTTAAAAAATCATGGTTAAAATGTTAATTCTTGTAGAGCTGAAGCGTGTCATCTCTGACACAGCTATGACGTCGTCTTACCTTTAAAAAGAAATAAGGAAATGGGATCAGAAAATACGACCTGTAAAGTACGTCACGTACCGGACGTGGGAGAGTCTAAAAATGTAAAAATGTGACAGGTGGGTTGGGGGTGTGAGGATTGTGGGTGATGTCACGAATTTTTTCCCTTCATACATATGAAAACAGTGATGGTGAATTTTCTGTTGTGACATATGGATTCTGACAGAAAATGGCGTCACTTGTATTTATTTAATGACGATGTGTTTAGATTGAGATTCAATTTTAATGAGGTTTTAAATTTAACAATTTTTTTTTTTTTTACAAAGAGGCTATTCGGACCCAAGTCCGAGAAGTGAGAGGTTGGGATTAAAATTTAAAAAAAATGTTATTGTTTGGTTGAAAAGACAAAATTTGGTATCAAATGAAAGATAATTAAATGGATTTTATGTTTGTAAACTTACTTCTTCAGTTTAACTAAAATAAACTACAACAAATGACATCCGAATAGCATTGGGTCTAATGGGACCCGGGTCTGAATAGCGGCGATGCGTAGCCGTAGCCCTTTAGGTGCACAGCGAGACGTACAACTTGAGGGGAGGGGATAGGGGATTTGAAATTTGTAACAAATTGCAACAGAAGGGGGGGGGGAGGGAGTGAGGGAGCAAAAACTGTCAAAAAATATCGTGCCATATTTTATGGGAGGCCGAATGGCTGTTTTTTATAGTTTGTTACCCTGACGCGACCCTAACTTTACAAAAAAAAAATAATACAATTTTTATTTTATTGTATATTTTTTGTAATTAAAGATTTTTTTTTGACTTGGCGAAAAATAAAAACAAATATTATAACCTTTAAAATGACCGGACAGCTTTTCAGCGTTCTTGAGGCTTTGTTATTATTTAACCGTCTTTTGTTTTAATACTTCGTAATCATTAATTTATTTCCCGATCACCCTAGGGCAGCAAGGAAACTTTTGCTTGCAATCAATACATCTACTTGGCTGGAAAGTAATCAAAGACAAGAGTTCACAGTAAAAAAGAAACATTGGTTCTGAGCGTAACCCAGGTATCGCCAGAAACACACACATCAGGAATTCCGATGTAAGCCATTCTACCCCGTGCATTCAGACAAGTTACCTCAACTTGAGCTGCGATCTGGACGCAAGGTAAGAATTTTCATCCTTTTCGTCATAAAAAAAATTGTTTTCATTTTGTAATTTTTTGTGTGTTTAAAGTTGTAAGTCAACTCTATTTTCACCGTCGTAGCAAAGAATCATTTAACGTATGCTTGTTTAAAAGTTTTATGAATACAAATAGCTACACCTTGCTGTGAGACTTATTCTTTCTGTTTCCCCTTAAATTCCATGTTGTGTAATAGTCGTTCTATTTCTGGATCTAGGCGCATCTAGTACATACGTCTACCTGCTGCTCGACTCAGACTTCGGCCAGCCTAACGAGCATCTAACTAGCTCAAGTAAAACACGTCGGAAGATAGAATGAAGCATGAATATCTTGAATTATACATGAAGATAGATTGAAGCATGAATATCTTGAATTATACATGAAGATAGAATGAAGCATGAATATCTTGAATTATACATGAAGATAGAATGAAGCCTGAATATCTTGAATTATACATGAAGATAGAATGAAGCATGAATATCTTGAATTATACATGAAGATAGAATGAAGCATGAATATCTTGAATTATACATGAAGATTGAATGAAGCATGAATATCTTGAATTATACATGAAGATAGAATGAAGCATGAATATCTTGAATTATACATGAAGATAGATTGAAGCATGAATATCTTGAATTATACATGAATATAGAATGAAGCATGAATATCTTGAATTATACATGAAGATAGATTGAAGCATGAATATCTTGAATTATACATGAAGATAGAATGAAGCATGAATATCTTGAATTATACATGAAGATAGAATGAAGCATGAATATCTTGAATTATACATGAAGATAGATTGAAGCATGAATATCTTGAATTATACATGAAGATAGATTGAAGCATGAATATCTTGAATTATACATGAAGATAGAATGAAGCATGAATATCTTGAATTATACATGAAGATTGAATGAAGCATGAATATCTTGAATTATACATGAAGATAGAATGAAGCATGAATATCTTGAATTATACATGAAGATAGATTAAAGCATGAATATCTTGAATTATACATGAAGATAGCTTGAAGCATGAATATCTTGAATTATACATGAAGATAGAATGAAGCATGAATATCTTGAATTATACATGAAGATAGATTGAAGCATGAATATCTTGAATTATACATGAAGATAGAATGAAGCATGAATATATTGAATTATACATGAAGATAGAATGAAGCATGAATATCTTGAATTATACATGAAGATTGAATGAAGCATGAATATCTTGAATTATACATGAAGATAGAATGAAGCATGAATATTTTGAATTATACATGAAGATAGAATGAAGCATGAATATTTTGAATTATACATACCTCCTTCTATTTAATGTAGGATTAATATAAAATCAATTTTAGGAATCAATTTTAACATATTTTTATATTTTATCATCTTCATAACAGGACTAGATTACAACAAAATATCAAATCCAAAATGATGTCTCGTCTCTAAGAATAAAAGAATGACAAAAAGAGTTGTCTACTTTAAAAATTGACTTTTTTTTTTCTTCTAATTTTAAATATTTATTTTGAATTAACAAAATCCATCAGGGACTAGTTACCATTTATCAATTCCTTAAACTTTGTATCTTACAGCAACAAGACGGGAATGAAGCAAATTTCGACTCTGTTTTGTATTCTCGCCCTTCATGTGTTTGCCTCCGAGGCACAGGAAACGGAAGTTGTTAAAACACCCGCAGGGAGGCTGAGGGGTTTGAAGGTGACCGCAAGTAATGGCCAGTCTCTCTGGGCGTTTCGAGGAATACCTTTTGCACAGCCACCTGTTAGACAGCTGCGTTTTTCTAAACCATTGGCTTTTCCCGTACAATGTGAGTATCAGGTGTTCATCTATACCATTGGCTCTTCCCTTACAATGTGAGTATCAGATGCTCATCTATACCATTGCCTTTTCCCGTACAATGTGAGTATCAGATGCTCATCTATACCATTGCCTTTTCCCGTACAATGTGAGTATCAGATGCTCATCTATACCATTGCCTTTTACCGTACAATGTGAGTATCAGATGCTCATCTATACCATTGCCTTTTCCCGTACAATGTGAGTATCAGATGCTCATCTATACCATTGCCTTTTCCCGTACAATGTGAGTATCAGATGCTCATCTATACCATTGTCTTTTCCCGTACAATGTGAGTACCAGATGCTCATCTATACCATTGCCTTTTACCGTACAATGTGAGTATCAGATGCTCATCTATACCATTTCCTTTTCCCGTACAATGTGAGTATCAGATGCTCATCTATACCATTGCCTTTTCCCGTACAATGTGAGTATCAGATGCTCATCTATACCATTGCCTTTTCCCGTACAATGTGAGTATCAGATGCTCATCCATACCATTGCCTTTTCCCCGTTCAATGTGAGTATCAGATGCTCATCTATACCAATGCCTTTTCCCGTACAATGTGAGTATCAGATGCTCATCTATACCATTGCCTTTTCCCGTACAATGTGAGTATCAGATGCTCATCTATACCATTTCCTTTTCCCGTACAATGTGAGTATCAGATGCTCATCTATACCATTGCCTTTTCCCCGTTCAATGTTAGTATCAGATGTTCATCTATCAATGCCATAGGCTAAAGGGCTGTCAACGTTGTCCACCCTCGTGAAGCTAACTTCCAGGGTCAACTGTCTTGTAATCTGATTAAAATAAAATTGGTTTTTTAAAATAAAACCATAAAATATCTAATAAGAATTGCGCTATTTTGACCCTTTTACTTTCTTTAACGGTGTTAGGGTTGCTGTCGTCACCTTAGGCCGCGGCTATTGAATTTTCACCTCGGACTTTATCCCAGTCCCCCTTACCTTAAGCATAAATTGTAACCTAAATTTAAATAGGACAGAGGAGGAAATAGCTTCCGCTAGTTTTAGCGTTGAACATCAAACTTTAAGGACAAAGCTTTCCTTTAGTTTTTGAGGCTGCAAACATATAAAGCAGTTGATAAAATCATCAATCGTGTCACTATTTATTGATCAAGTCGAATGATCATAAAGCAAAGGATTCCAGACACGGTGGTCGCATTTTTGTAACTATTACCTCACCATATCATTATGGTTTATTAGTATTTTAAAAAAAAAATCTTAATTTTTTTAAGAGGGGTCTTGGGCTAAAAAGTAGTTTTACAGAAATGACTCCGACTGGTGTATAGATTTAATTACAAGTTGGTAATTAATTGTCTGCAAACGAATAGTGAATATTACATAAGACTATACGTGGTTTAGAAAATCCAAATATTTTTTTTTTAAAAATGATCGAAACTAAAATGATCGACTACACTTAACTGTTCTGGTCAAACCTAAATGATCGACTATACTTAACTGTTCTGGTCAAACCTAAATGATCGACTTTACTTAACTGTTCTGGTCAAACCTAAATGATCGACTATACTTAACTGTTCTGGTCAAACCTAAATTATCGACTACACTTAACTGTTGTGGTCAAACCTAAATTATCGACTACACTTAACTGTTGTGGTCAAAACTAAATTATCGACTACACTTAACTGTTGTGGTCAAACCTAAATTATCGACTACACTTAACTGTTGTGGTCAAACCTAAATGATCGACTATACTTAACTGTTCTGGTCAAACCTAAATTATCGACTACACTTAACTGTTGTGGTCAAACCTAAATTATCGACTACACTTAACTGTTGTGGTCAAAACTAAATTATCGACTACACTTAACTGTTGTGGTCAAACCTAAATTATCGACTACACTTAACTGTTGTGGTCAAACCTAAATTATCGACTACACTTAACTGTTCTGGTCAAACCTAAATTATCGACTACACTTAACTGTTGTGGTCAAACCTAAATTATCGACTACACTGAACTGTTGTGGTCAAACCTAAATTATCGACTACACTTAACTGGTGTGGTCAAACCCAACTTAACGACTACACTTCACTGTTCTGGTCAAACCTAAATTATCGACTACACTTGGCTGTTCTGGTCAAAACTAACTAAGCGACGTCATTTAAGTACTTGATATCATGAAGTTTACATAAATTAAGATCTGGAAAGTCTAAGACGAAATAATTTTTTTTTTCCAACTTGAAAAGTCGAAATAATTTTTAAAAGCTTGCAATTTACATGAAAAGGTGCATATCCTGAGGAGGAGAACAAACAAATATAATGCATATTTGCAATTATTCGTCGTTTCTTCTGAAAAATTTCAAAAAAAAAAAAATCACAAATTTAAGAGATGTTGATAGCTTATTATTTTTTAAAACAAATATCTTATTTCCCCTGTACAGCTGAGATTATAGATGCTACAAGGCAAAGGGCTTCTTGTATACAAGCTGAAGCAAAACTTGCCCCCAATGAAATGACATCAGAAGACTGCCTGTTTCTGAACATCTTCGTCAAAGATCTCCAAGGCAGCCCCGCGGCACGAAAGAAAGTCCTCGTGTACATACACGGTGGGGCTTTCTTCTTGGGATCTTCGTTTGTCTTTAGTCCCGGAAGTATAGTCACGGACCACGACATTATTGTTGTCGTCATTCAGTATCGAATCGGCGCGCTTGGGTTTCTGACGACAAGGAATCAGGCTGCTTTGGGGAACTACGCTCTCTGGGATCAGGTCCTTGCCTTGAAATGGGTTAAAGACAACATTGGCGCTTTCGGCGGAGACGCAAATGACGTAACGGTTGCAGGAGAATCAGCAGGGTCTATGTCCGTGTCGATCCTCACATTGAGCCCAGAGACAAAGGGACTGTTCACCAAGGCTTATTCCGCTAGTGGGGTGGCCATGTCAACCATTACCGACTACAGAAACAGTGACAGCATCATTATGTCCCTGGCTAAATCTCTCAACTGCTGGAACAAGACTGATACGGTAAAGTTAGATACCATCACGTCGGTGGAAGTCGTTCAGTGCCTACGTGCCCGCCCATCTTCAGACTTTGCAAAGATTCAATTTGCCACTAGTTCTAAGCCGATCTACGTGCCCTGGGTAGATGGTGAGATTATTCCTAGATCTCCGAGGGATCTGTTGAAAGACACGGAATACTTAAAAAGTATAGGGTTTTACGACAGGAGATATCTCTACAGCGTGACGAACAACGAGCAATCGGTTCTTGCTCAGTTCCTAGCGGAAACAAAGATGCATATATACAGTAACAAAACCCTCTCGGAAGAAGACAAAGAAAAGAGCTGGCGAAACGCACTCTCGGCATCAACCAGGAAATCCGTTTACGACATCCTGGGAGCCGAACACGCCACGGATAAAAACATCAGAACCGCCCAAGACTGGTATTCAGCCAGGCGGTCTGCGCCGTACGACGTGTACGAACTTAACGCAGATCTGACCTTTATTATCCCCACTTTTGATTTTCTCGACGTCATAGCGAAGAGCGGGCGCACGTATTCCTGGCTCCTGTATTTCAACCACTATCCGAAAGTTATAACGGGTAATTCCAAAGGAGTTGCACACGGACTGGACCTGGCCTATTGGTTTGACTTCAACACTGATACGATACGTAGGCGTTTTGTCGCCGGTATAGGTGAGTTTGAGGAGGAGGATTTGAACCTGAAGAAAGTCTTTTCCAGCGTCGTGGCCAACTTTGCTATACATGGGTGAGTAAGATATTTCGGGTTAGAACTTTAAAAAAAACTTAAAATAAATATTTTAAAAAAAAATTATTAAGCGATAGGTATTCCATCCGACGTTAAAAAATAGTATCCCTACTGAACCCTCATACAGTTGGAAGGTGTCTAAAGTTCCGGGCTGTAATTGTTAGTTATTGTTAACAACAATGCCACAATTCCCATAATTCAATGATCCTATATTACAGCAATGGAAGCCTACAACAGCCGCGTAGCGCAACGATCCCACGGTACACTAATCCCTCAAGGACAACAGTCCCACTGTGTCGCTATTCTTAGTTACAAAGAGTTAAATTAGTGGAATAAAAAGTGCATTGAAGAACTCAATTAGATATTAACTTTCAGATATGTTAAAGTTTATTTGATCTATCGCCACAACATTAAAATAATATGGTAATCATCATTACGTTATTATTATTATGCATTATTACCTGTGCCGTCCTGTGCCTTTAAAAAAAAAAACGTTTGATATTTTTAGGTCGGTTTTTAAAACTTAGTAATGTCGGCATTGCTAGAGAAAAGAAAGTGTATTGAAATTATGACCAATTTGATGTGAAATTTGTTTAGATTTAGTGGAGATGATCTAGAGTTCTCCTGAAAGATAAGCGTCTTATAGCCCTTTTGGTCGTTCATTACCATACATTCTTCCAAATAATTTGTTATCTTTTGTTTTCATTGGTATGTTGACATCGGTTTGTTAACAGATGGCTTTCATGCAAACAGTTGACATTCGTTGTCACATACACCGATTTTAACAGAGAATAATTAAAACACTTGACGAATAACGTGTGCAGGCCAATCTGTTAACCTTTGAATCATGCATGGCTTATCACATCGTGTGTGCTATTTTCATAAATAATTCATCAGTAAAAAGCATAAATTAATTCTTCTTCAACGCATCCACCTCTTTACATTTGGTGTTATCATTTCCTTAGGGATCCGATACACTAACCTATCGTTAACTAGTTAACTATGATCCCCAGAAACCCAGAATCCCCTCTGCTGGACTTGGGGTCATGTCGATGGAGACCTAACGGCTCGTACTATTTGAACTTTAAGCCTAGAGCCACCGTAGAGAGGAATCTGAGACTAGAACAGAGACAGCTGTGGACGAAAGAAGTGTTGGGAACATGTTCAGAGGAATGGGGTGCCACATCTGGTTTCAAGTTTTGGAGTGCTTACAGCATTACATCGTTTACGGTTCTCTTAACATCATTTTGCGTGTCTTTTATCCCACTCTTATGATCCTACTGTAGCATTTTAAGTCACCTAATTGTACGAAATTAGAAAAAGAAGTATCTTTTCATTAGAAATTACTTTAACAAAAATAAATATTGTGCGTAACATAAACTGTCAACTATAACCATGCATCTAGTAATTTATAGTTTGCAATTAAGGCTTTAAATAGCTTCTTTAAAAAAAAAAATTAAAATTCTTCATTCATCCATTGAAATTGTATTTTACAGTAATAAACTTCTTGTTTTCAAAACTGTGAATTTCTGCACATTTAATTGATTTCCTCACTTTATTACTAAATACTGGCCCGGATCGATTACCGTTGAAATCTTGTTAGAAACCTAATCAATCACGATTGGGGTCTATGGCTGTTTTTGTTACGTCTTAGGTGTATAAGTATTAATCTTAATGGGCATTGTCGGGATTTTCAAGCAATAATATTTTATTTTTTAGGCATGATTATAAACAATGGCGTCATTTCGGGGAAAAGGGGAGGGGGGGGCACTATCAAAACTTGGTCGGCTTGTTAATATGTTTATTACTTGAGGTGCCACAGTTCATGGCAATTTAAATACACCTTAAAATTCAAGTGGTTTGGGGGGGGGGGTGGGGCAAATGACCTACACTACCCTACCCAAAATGACGTCCCTGATTGTAAGTTACAAAACCCCAACACCTTTAGTTAAGTACATGCGATCATCTTCTAACTTCACGGAATTAATCGTGAGAGACTCGTGTGTTAACATCTTCTCCTTCTGATCTAACGCCACTTTCGGAGCTAATCTCATCAACGACAACACCGTAAAAACATGAAAGAAAGAGTGATAATGTAGGTCAGCTGAAATTCTGAAATTTTTAAAGAGTCCCCCTCCCCCCCCCCTGTCCTATATTTTAGTTTCTACTTGCCACCCCCCACTCACAAGGTTTACCTGCGTGCTTCAAATCATACACCAGTGGGTCTCAACTTATGATCCACGTACCAATGCTTGTTCATGACTCGATAACCCGTCATCCGTTAGATAGAGGATTGAATGTTAAAATTTTAATGTAAACATTAAAAAAATAATAATAATACACCTTCGTTTTTAATAATAATATTCATTTATTGACTAAATTATTCCAGGATAAATATTATAACCTAAAGGATATTCATGACAGATTGAAGAACATAGCGGCCCACTGCTAACATATTTTCACCTACATAAGTTTAATTTAGGATATTTTTAGTTTATATATTTAAATTCAAAGGTAAATGACCGTTGAGATACATCCGGCCCACGAGAACTCAGCATTGTCTAAACAAATACCATGTATTTTTTAAACTTTTTAATCTAAATTCTTAGAAACAAAGCTTGACATTGATACCAATGGGTGATTCTAAGTCCATTTTACAGTTCTTGTATACATGTACCTCCTGACTTTCACGTAATTTTTTATATGTTCTTGTCATTGTTATACTGTGGACTTATTTTAACAAGACGAAATCCATTATGGAAGTCGGAAGGCTGCGGGGTACCATGAGTTTAGCGCACCGGGTGACACCTACTCTAGCTACGCCACTGCTTGCAACTCCGTATCTTTTTTTGGAACTTGCATTTTAATCTTTGGTAATGCATACAAAAACATTTCTTAACGTCTTGTTTAAACAACAACCACAATAACAACAACAACCAACTCTGTCGGACACGCAACTTTGTGCCAACGACCTACTTTAGGGATGTGATTGAACTCTCTCAAGGGACTCAACTATTGCAGTTAAATAGTTGAGGAAAAAAACCAAAGAAGACGACAAGACTCCTAAGGACCTCCGCATCACTTGTTGGATTAAAATAAGTTTCCTCGGAAGGTAACAAGTCATGACTTCTCAAACATCTTATTTAAAAAAATGCATGCTTTAAGTCATGAGTCATCTTAAGAAACGGGTTGTAACGGCGTAACAATTAATGCAGTAGGTCGACTGCCATATATCTCCGCGAGGCCTACCCTGTAAAAACGGATATAAGAGCAACAATGGATATTTCTTGAGTTGTTTACTGGGCTCTGTTCTTTGTGATATTTCCATGTGTACTGTGAGCTTAAGAAGGCTTTATGCCGAAACGTCCTAATCTTTTTGTCCTGTGCTCTAATTCAAGCTCCCACATACCTCGTTTTGCTATTTCATTCATTTATAAGAGCAACAATTGTGTGTGTCTTCTATAAATATATATATATATTATATAAACATTAATGTTGAGAATTATGATCTTTGTCACTTCTGGTTTGGAACAGCGTGTTCAAAGTCATCCGGGAATCAATGACATGGCCATCACTGGAGCACATAATATGAGAATGGTCCGTGAACACCTCAAATTATAAGAATCCTTGCCATTAGGAACAGAGTCGATCTCTTTAAGGGGGAAACACATTTTTTTTTTTACTGGAAAAGGTTGGTTGGCAGGATACATTTATATTTCTTAACGCCTCGTTCCTAAATTGGCCACATGATCTTCAGGTTTTACCAGTTCCAAATCTGTTTGAACTAATTTTTTTTTTTTTTAAATTTTTTTTTTCCCTATAATCAACAGTCATTACTTTTTGAAATAGTTAACTTTCTGCAGGTTGCTCTGGCTGACTCTTCAAGAAAAAAGAATTGTAACGGTTAAACGAAAGATTTTTAAACTCATGAATGTCTTGATATTGAAGGTTTAGATTATTTTANTTTAAGGGGGAAACACATTTTTTTTTTTACTGGAAAAGGTTGGTTGGCAGGATACATTTATATTTCTTAACGCCTCGTTCCTAAATTGGCCACATGATTTTCAGGTTTTACCATTTCCAAATCTGTTTGAACTAATTTTTTTTTTTTTTTAAATTTTTTTTTTCCCTATAATCAACAGTCATTACTTTTTGAAATAGTTAACTTTCTGCAGGTTGCTCTGGCTGACTCTTCAAGAAAAAAGAATTGTAACGGTTAAACGAAAGATTTTTAAACTCATGAATGTCTTGATATTGAAGGTTTAGATTATTTTAAATATCGACTTTGAAGACACGGTTGCACGAAACCAAACAAAACAACAAATTGACAGGAGGCCCTCCAAAAATCATTCAACGATTCTGACCCTACCAGTAAGACCAAGACTTCTGTGCTCAAAACGTTCATTATAATAATAATAATAATAATAATAATAATACGTCAAAGTTGACCTTTGAACTTACTTTTACGTTACAGTTTGTTGATATAATTATGATTAAAGACTACGCGGGAAACGTGCCCTAGCTGAAAAAATAAAGTTTAGTTCATGGTACGATTTAAAATTAGGTCACATTTTAGGAGCACCTGCCAGTTGGTGTTAGGTAAGTGGCTTATTAATAACGAATGGGCTTAGCAGTCTTGCCTGAACAGGAATCGGTCAATAATCAATAACCGTCGCTGCCTCGTGGGTGGCGCCACTCATGCTTAAGGATCCCTTCTCTTCAATCTTGATCTCCCAAAGGAATCTCGGACTCCATAACCATAATCTTTCCCATAACCACTCTCCCAATGGCAGCATCTACCTTCACATTCAACGCTTATTCTCAGTGTTAAAGCTAGGGTTAGTGTCACCCAGGGCGTACCAAGCGTTTTCCTGACACAATCCTCGAAAAAGAAATAAGCAAGAGGCCGAAAATGCCGCCCCTCAATATAAGGAAAAAAAGTGTCTCCCACCATCCCCCCCTTCCTATGCCCCTGCTACTCCCCCTAAAGCTACACCTACAGTCAACCAATACAATGTTCCCCTCATCACTCTTACCTAAAGCTAAACCTACTGTGAACCAATACTGGTTTGCCTTCATCTCTCATAACTAAAGCTAAACCTACTGTGAACCAATACAATCTTGCCCTCATCTCTCGTAACTAAAGCTAAACCTACTGTGAACCAATACAATCTTGCCCTCATCTCTCATAACTAAAGCTAAACCTACTGTGAACCAATACAATCTTGCCCTCATCTCTCATAACTAAAGCTAAACCTACTGTGAACCAATACAATCTTGCCCTCATCTCTCATAACTAAAGCTAAACCTACTGTGAACCAATACAATCTTGCCCTCATCTCTCATAACTAAAGCTAAACCTACTGTGAACCAATACAATCTTACCCTCATCTCTCATAACTAAAGCTAAACCTACTGTGAACCAATACAATCTTGCCCTCATCTCACTTACACTCTTTTCTTAAATGCTTCACCTTTTTTTTACTCTCATACTCTCCCACCTTATCTCATATATTTGGACATCTTTTTGATTTAGTTTCTCCACCCTTTTCTGCATCTTCATTTCCCTTTCCTTGAAATGTTACCTGGATAGCACATAAAATACTTTTGTTCCCAGAAAATTAAATTTGGTTCCTAAGCCTACAAACATGATGAAAAAAAAAAAAAAAGTAAAATCTAAAAGATGCTAAAAATATTTTAATATTTTGTTTGTTCTTTAAATAGCTAGATCTAATTGTTTCGAGATCAAATGTACCTACTTACCTAATTTGTACTTGCCTTTTTTGAGGATATGCTCCCTTCATTATTGTGATGCCCTTGCTAGATGAGCTCCCAAGTCCATGCATGTTCCAGAGCGGGCTCTTATTATTGAACTGAACTAAAGCTAGGTCAAGTGAAGGTAAATTAGCTGCTTTAATGAATGTGGGGGGCGATGGCAACTTGGAGCCGGCCTAAGGTTAACGTTTGAAAGATACAAACTCTGTTAATCAGAAAGTATTTCAGTCAAGCAAAGCCAAGCCATTACATTACATTACATTGCATTACATTATGTGTCATTATATTGCATTATATGCCAATATATTGCATTAGATGCCATTACATTACATGACATTAAATTACATGCCATTAAATGCCATTACATCCATTATATTGCATTACATTACATTATAATTACATTACACGACTTTACATCATATTATATTATATGACGTGTTATTACATTATATTACATTACTTTATATGTCATTCCATTCAATTCCATTATATTATATTACATTAACTTATTATTAAAACTAAAAGAATAATAAATGTTTAAAATAAACAAGGTACATTTGTAATATTGTTAAGGCTTATTTATTTCATTTCATTTGTCGTTTGAACATAAATGCACGGACCGACCTCTCAATAAATCCTAATGACGAAATGTACACAGGAGCAAATACATTTATTTAATATTGAAAAGGAAAACAAATAGTCCGTTTCACAATATTGAGACCCCCTGATCTTGAATACACACCGCACACAGCACAAACACACACTCACATGTATAAGCCCCCAGGGCTGCCGCGACCTCCGGCCAACAGCGTATCGACGAAACACCAGTCGTGCTGCCGGTACCGGGTAAGTGCACAATATCAAAGTGATTACAAAGAACCCGCTCAGTTGAGGAAAATGTGTTGAAATATCTCCGTCTACAATATCTAATATACATTTTAATAGCAAATATAATCGATGATCACTTTGCACTATGTTAGATTGATGAATCTGCTTCTGGATATGAATGTGTTTGTAGTTTTTTTTTTGTCTAGTCATGGCTGCACTGGTCTGACAGCACAACGGCTCTCAAATAAATTGGTTATGGTTAAACACAAAACGTCACGATAAGTATTTTTAAAAAAAAATTAATAATTTAAGAGGACAATTTGCACAGAGCTACGCTTTGTTTTAGCCAGCATCGCTTAAACTTGAAGGCACCAGTTCTCAGAACATCATATCTTAAATGTAGTCACGGCATCTATCACAAGACTGGTGTGAAGGTCTACTGCTTGGCACAGTAACGAGTGACCAATGTAATGAGTACGTAGGCAAAGATACAAATCAGGATTAGACTGACTGAGTGAAACAAAGAATTGGAGATGACAGAAGTGGTGCGATAATCTGTTTAGAGCAGGTTGAGTAGAGTCAGTGGCGTAGGGAGGTGGGTGCGGAGGGGCCAACTTAAAACCTTCTGTATTTTTTTTAAAAGACGATGGCAAAAAGCATGGCCGGCCACGGGTGAAATTGAACCTAATTACGCAGCATTGCTGAAACTGAGAAAAGTAGAAGCTATTAAAGGTTAACTACATCATTGAAACAATAAAATACACAAAATAAAGTAGGCGGTGTATCCTTGACACCACCTCACCATTTCGGATGTGTCCTAATTGCACGACTGTGTTCGGCTATGAAGGCGGAACACTGTAAGCACACTAAATATGGATATGAAATGTAGGACTTGGTCCGCTCAAAATCACTACGGTACCATTATTCCCCCCCCCCACTCCTTCCCCACGCCAGGTCGCAACTCTATACCGGGCAATGACAGGCAAAATTACAGGTCGTGAAAGATATTCTCGATAGCCTATTTAGGTATTTGGGAGGGGGGGATTTGGTGGAGATTTTTGTTCTTTTCTTTCCATAGAAAACGCTAGAAAAAATAATAACGTTAAATTCGCATCTCCACTGTAGTTTGAGAGTTTCGCATCTGATGAACCCGAGCAATTAAACGTGCGTCAACAACGGACTGGATCTGAGAGTCACGTGATTTATTTTTATACATATCCAAACCGGAATAGTTTTTTTTTTTTTTTTTTTTTTTTTAAAAATTAGCCACTTCTTATCATACATTATTTTCCATGCTTTATTAGTACATTTTTTTTTTTTTTTTTTTTTTTTTTTATTTAAAAATTAGCCACTTCTCATCATACATTATTTACCATGCTTGATGAGTACATATTTTTTTTTTGTATGAGTAAGTGCTTTGTCATAAAATATAACATAAACAATAGGGTGGCCATGGAAATCTGTTTTCGTACCTTTTGTGTAAAGGTCAAAAGAGACGTTACATTTTTTTTTAGACATTAGTGGGTCACGATGGAGAAGTATAAAAATGACCTGGTCACGGAAGAAGAACAGTTTAGGGATACGCTGTATGCATCTCATTGGTGTGCACATCATCTTTGTGCTTCGCGTTTTAAAAACGTTGAGCCGGCTGGGTGTCACAACGGAACTTTTACAAGAAATTTAAACTTGATAAATTATATAAGCATAAATATTTAAACAAGAGAGCGCCACTGACGATTTTGAGTTTAATTAAGATGACAATGATCATAAAATATTTCCTTAATATTACCCAATGAGAGCTCCCAGTTGTGTTTCGTATGTGTTTAAAGTTAGGCCAAAATGCGATGGCGTACCGTGCCTTAATCCTGACCCAAACATGTTCTACTTTAACACACAAATTATTTATAAAATGTTAACGTATAAGCCCCCAAAAGTATCGCCCCCCTCCCTCCACTCCCACCCCTTGTCCGCCACTGTTAAATTCTTTACGTGACTATCATCAGTTTCAGATGTTATCATCCACGTAGACTGAGGTCATCCATATAGAAAATGAAGAGAACGATGTGTCTGCTAGCGATGCTTGCCTTACAGGCAGGCGCCACACAGGGCTCAGAGTTCCATGTGGTGGACACGCCCGTGGGGAGGGTCAGAGGTCTGAGGGTGACCGCCGTCAACGGCAAGCCGCTGTGGTCATTTCGCGGCATACCGTACGCGCTTCCTCCCGTGGGGCAGCTACGCTTCACTAAGCCTCTGCCCTATCCATAACAAAGTGAGTTTCTCTTTACAAAAATAATTATATGCTCATTTATTACTTCTTCATAATTTTAAAATATATATATATATATATATATATATATAAACTCATATTTAGCTTCTTTAACTCATATATTGCTTCTTTATAATTTTATTTTAATTTTTTATATTTTTTTATAAAAGACTTTTTTTTTTACTTGTCTTGTTTGTTTTTTTATCAGCTTGTTTATGATGAGCCGTGGTTGGCCACGCATGCAGTGCCCGGAGTGTTATTTTTTGGTTTAACAATAACGCCAGCCACTCTCTTTAGGAAGCAATCAGATGGAGTCAATGTGTGTGTGTGTGTGTGTGTGTTTACGTCTATTTTAGAGGATAAACTAGAAATATCTTTACTCTGCAACGAAAAAGCATGCCACTATGTGTGACAATAGATAAAACTTCCATTTGGGTGCCCATGTGTCGGTCATGTGGATCGAAAAAAAAAAAAAAAAACGGTGTTTGGCGGCCGGGGAACTAGTTACATTTTACCCCCCCCCCCTTCTTTTAAAAACAACAACCATGAAACCCATTATGTTCATCAATAAAATACCACCTAAGCACGTTTCAGCGCTACGACGAAAGTGGCACCCTCCTAGCTACGCCCCTGCATGTCAAATGAGTAAATAAAAAGAACACTTCAATATATATTTAACAGAACATATAATGTTATGTAACATGTAACATTGATTGGGAGCTTCTGTTAGGATGTCATCTGGTTTATCTTCTCAAACAATTCTGTGAAAACCTAAAAGTTGTCCCCGAAGTTAACTCAGTCAAGTTTCATAAGAAAACACTGCTCCTAATTTCACCCCGTGGAGGCTATTCGCGTGTCCCCACAGGTTACTACCACCACCCACACTGAAAAAATCTTAAAATTAATAAAAGAATTTAAAAAAAAAAAAATTGAAATCAAATTATTGAATCTATTCAATCCCAAGATGACCTGATCGATGCGACCAAACCTGGAGATTCCTGCATTCAAGATAAACAATTTCTTTTACCGGAAGAAAAAACATCAGAAGACTGTTTGTCTCTCAGCGTCTTTGTCAAGGATGTAAATGTCAAGTCCCAGTCACCAAGGAAAGTGCTCGTCTACATTCACGGCGGGGGCTTCTTTTTTGGGTCGTCCTTTGGTTATAATCCAGGTACGCTGGTGGTGGACCACGACGTCATTGTAGTGACCATCCAGTACCGCCTTGGCGCGCTTGGTTTTCTGACCACCAAGAACGGGGCTTCCCTCGGAAATTTCGGTTTATGGGACCAGGTACTTGCGCTAAGGTGGGTCAAAAGCCACATCGACGCTTTTGGTGGGGACCCGAAGGACATTACCATAGCCGGCGAATCGGCAGGCGGGGCGTCGGTGTCACTGCTCACCTTGAGTCCCGTAACAAAGGGATTGTTCTCCAAAGCCTATTCGGCAAGTGGGGTGGCCACGACACTGTTCACGCAATATAAAAACAGCGAAACGTTTGTCTTGTCCTTGGCCAGGTCTCTAAACTGCTGGGACAAGGACGCGTCCATCAACGACGCCTCCAGCGGGTTCGAGATCATCCAATGTTTACGCTCACGGCCGGCGTCAGATTTTTCCAGCATTCAATTTTTCGAAGGGTCGCGGCCAATCTACGTGCCGTGGGCGGACGGTGAGTTTTTTACCGCTTCTCCTTCAGCCTTGATACACGACAGGCAGTATTTGGAAGGCATCGGCTTCTACGACAGGAGGTATCTCTTCAGCGTCAACAACTTTGAGCAGTCCGTGCTGGCTCCATTCCTATTTATGACGCGCGACTTCATCTACAGCAACAGTAGCGTTTCAGACGAGGACAAACTGAACAGTTGGCATAATTTTATGTTCACCACTTGCCAATCGACGATTGCCGACCACCTCGGGGTCGAGGACGTGCCCGAAGATTTAGTCAAAAATATTTTGGGGTGGTACCAGGCCAGAGAGTCTTCGCCAAGTGATGTGATACGGCTGGTCTTGGATCTGACTTTCGTCGTTCCGACACTTGATATCCTCAACGCCATCGGCCGCGGCGGACGCACAGAATCGTGGTTGCTCTATTTCAACCATTATCCGCGGTACCTTTCTGGTGACGGCAAGGGGATGATGCACGCCCTGGACCTGTCCTACTGGTTCGATGTAGAGATGGACGTGGTACGGCGGCTTCTGGCGCCCCAGGCGTCCGGTGACTTCGGAGATGAAGATGTAACATTGAAAAAAATCTTCTCTTCGATAGTGGCTTCTTTTGTCAAGAATGGGTGAGTTCAACATTTTTTTGGTGTGTTAATTTGTAAATGTATATTCACTTAGTCGATTTCAATTAAATTGTTGAAAGCCATAAGTCAAATCGGTAAAGATGTATTACAATGTACGGATGAATTTTGAGAAAAAACAACAACGTTTTCGCTTGTTTCAAACCCCATTTCCACATGGTTAAATTCGACGTGTTTGGCACATTGGCAACAGCAGTTACGGTTTACAATGCGGAAGCTGTTTGTATTTCTATGAAAAACCTTGAATTAAGACATGGTGAAATTTGAAGTATTTAACAAAAAAAAACATACTATTTTATATAATTATGCTGCCACCGGCTGTCAATGTATATATTTCCTGCATTGATCAATATGTCTCACTGTTAAATATATGCTATATTTAATTTAACTTATTGCCGGTAGTTGCATACATTGTATGAAGCCCTTTACTCCGTGGCGGATGAAAGGGTTGCCGTGCACATCCTTCATTATATGACATAATATGAATAGCCGCATATTGGGCGAACGGCGGACCTCTTCGTGGTTGGTGCTTGGCTAAATTTTCGGCCGGCCCCTGGGGTCCCTAACCCCAGTAACGCCACTGCCATAGCTAAGTGACTGCATTATTTAACTTCATTACTTTTTTGTAAAAACCGGTTTCTGAAAAGTGTATTAATGATACTTTTACTTTATGTTTTGAAACATTTCAGTAACCCAGGCGTTCCTCTACTTGATGTGCTCCCCAACGGATGGCCACCTTATGACCAACATAAAGCAAGCTATCTGGATTTTCATACAAGGCCGTTTGTTCAAGGAAACTTCGAGAGGGTGGTGAGCGAATTTTGGGCGAAAGAAGTGCCTTCGTGGGTTCTCAAACAGAATGAAGTGCAGCACACTGAACTTTAATGTTGAAAATATTTGAAGTCAAGATTCCTTTTTTTTTTTTTAAACATCTCTTATTGTATACATCCGTCACTTAGCCAATACCATATCGTCCTCAATAGTGTCCATGAAAAAAAGGACTTATATCCAGATATAGTAACCTGAGCTTGACGTTCGACAGGTAAAGGTTCCATCTTAATGACACCTGAGTAATGACAGATGAGTAATGACAGATGAGTAATGACAGATGAACAATGACAGATGATTAATGGCATATGAGTAATGACTTATGTGTATTTACAGATGAGTAATGACATATGAGTAATGACAGATGAATGAGTAATGCCTGTCATTGTCTTTTTAAAGCACATTTTCTAATGCTACGTGTTTGTTGGTTAGTTTTTTTACGATGATTTAATGATCGACAACCATTCCACGCCTTTCATTCCAAACCCTAAGCCCCTTTCTCCAACCCCTAAGCCCCTTTCTCCAACCCCTAAGCCCCTTTCTCCAACCCCTAAGCCCCTTTCTCCAACCACGACGATTTGACTGCGCCCACTGCAGCGTACTCCGACCACTATGACTCTGACTCCACCTAATACCCCTCTGACTTAGAGACTTAACGTCTCTCTGACTCCGACTAATACCCCTCTGACTTAGAGACTTAACGTCTCTCTGACTCCGCCTAATACCCCTCTGACCTAAAGACTTAACGTCTCTCTGACTTAGAGACTTAACGTCTCTCTGACTCCGACTAATACCCCTCTGACTCCGACTAATACCCCTCTGACTTAAAGACTTAACGTCTCTCTGACTCCGCCTAATATTACTGCGAATCTGATTTGGCCTCCAGGAATCCTTAATTAATCACCAGTAAATAAAGATGTCCTGTAAATGAATCTCCTATCTTATAACTAGCACAGCGAACTTTCTTGCCTGTCACGAACATGTCACAGACATAACGTTTCCGGAGAGGTTAAGATAGGTCATAGAAGAGACATTATTCACGCCAAATTAGTATTAAATGAATATAAAATTAGTTTACCTTCAATTCTAACTTATAAAAATATGATAAAATTGTGTTAAATTCTTTATCCATATTTGTCTTTTATATGTAAAGATATATATAATATATATGTGTTGCTTATGGTTGAAACGGGATGAAAGACTTTGACTGGGTATGCTCGTATGTAGCTTTATATTGTTGCGTCTGTTTTTAAACGTGGTAAATTTTAGATTGTTTTTGTTTCTCTTTTTAATATGGTTGACTTCGTTCCGTGCTTTGAGCTTTTGGGGATGAAGTGTGTTTTTTCAAATAAACTTTATTATTATTATTCTTATTATATATATATATATATATATATAATATATTATATATATATATATTATGTATAATATATAAATTTAATTAAATATATCCAAAACTGTAATACGCAGTCAGAAAATCTTTTATTTTTATAAATCTTAAATAGTAAAACAACAAAATACACCTTGTATATATATATATTTTAAATCAATGAGTTTGTTGTTTTTAACCATCTATAGCATCGCTTTGCAGCTGGTGTGCTCCGGGACACCGGTGTGCTGCGAGATGATGCAAGGTGTGCCGCGGCATGATGCCTAACATAGAAGAAGAAAAAGAGTTAATAGTTGGCACGTCATCCTGATAAAATTGTGTTAATACAAAAAGCTCGCGCCTTATTATCAAACTAGCAGGTTTTTTTTTCTGTCTTACATCGCGGAATTAGTGTGCCTTCAATATCTGGCAAGTTGCATGACAATCCCCTCCCCCCCCCCACCCACATTTTTTCCCCACAAACTGAATTAAACCGTTTCGCCAGATACCATTAGAGCAATGTTTTTTCGACATGGTTCAAATAAAACTCTCAAACTATTTGAAGTCACGACATTTCGCAGAAACATGAATGTGATAATCTGCTACGGTTTGAGAACCAAGTTATCACAAAGGTAAGCATTAAATAGAGACAGTCAAAAACTTTTCAGATCAATAATTGCTACATGCGCTTTTATCCCGTGAACTATTGAAATAAAAAAATGGGCTGATGTGTAAATATTATAAATGAAAGGAATAATAAAGGGGAAAAAAAACCTAAAAAGCAGGTGTCTTTAAATAGTCTGCGAACATTGTGCTTGGAAATAATGAATATTTAAGATTTTTTCTGATCTATTTATGTTTGCTCTTCCAATGTAATGTGTCCCAAAATGTATCTGTATAGTTAAGTTAATTTTGATTTAATTAAAACATAACTAAATATAAGCATCTGGAAAATAAAACTTGGCTGGAAATGTGCAAACATGTCTGTTGGGATGGTACAATAAAAATAAAAGTGGAAAATATTCATGTGCACTTAAGTTGTTTTCATTCCATGTAGTGAAAAATAAATCAAACAAACACATTTAAACGAGTACATATATTTCCTCATATAAGCAACAACAACAAAAAAAAAAAAACTACGAATTTAGGGCCCCGGCTCAAAACAGATTATTTTAAAATAGTTGTTATAATTCAAAATATCGCATTCGGGTAACTGGTATAGGAGCGCATACCGATTCTATTTTTTACAATGCTAAAAGAAGGAGAAAAAAAAATGAATTTAGGGCCAACGGCCCCCACGGAATATTTTAAAAGTGTTGTAATGGCTCGGGAAAATGCCCGGGTTGTGGAAACAAATCACCAAAGTTTATCGCAATCGCATAAATGGTCATACACACACATAAACAAATACATACATACAGACCATCATTTATACATACAAGGTGGGCCAATAAAAGTGAGAACATTTTGTAGCGTAATATTTTACGGGATGTTCTCACTTTTTTTGGCCCACCCTGTGTATATATATATATATATATATATATATAGCTATTATATATGAGTTATATTTAAATTAATAAGTTATATTATTTATTTATGATTGAGGTGACAAAAGTAATTGTCTTATCAACTTGGAAGTGCCTGCGTCAAGAAAAAATAATAATTTTAACATCATTTTTAAAAAGAATAATATTTTATTTAGTTTAACGGCATGGGGCCCTGACGGGATTCGACTCACGATCATATTGGTCCATAGAGCCGTTCAGGCTGACCCCCCCCCCCCTTTCTTCGCTACATCAAGATAATTCTTATCTATTTTGAGTTATCGTTTGATTGTAACTAGTATTTTCTTTAATCTGTATGGGGATGTCCGAGGAGCATCAACACAGGCTGACCCCCCCCCCCCTTTCTTCGCTACATCAAGATAATTCTTATCTATTTTGAGTTTTCGTTTGATTGTAACTAGTATTTTCTTTAATCTGTATGGGGATGTCCGAGGAGCATCAACATTATCAAAGGTTATTATTAGGCTATCATCAAGGGCGAACATCCCGCCTAAGGGGTGACAGGCAACCACCCTCCCCATATACTCTAAACCCAGCCCCCACCCCCACGGACCACGGACCTCAGTCATTCTGTGTGCGGGGCATGTCATCATGACAAAGGTGTTAATTTCGCGAGTTTACTAAGATTATTAGTAATAATACATTTACTGTTAAAAAAAAAATAGAACATTGTTAACTATTCATTAACAGTCAACAATGATAGCATTGATAACAAACAACTCCAATTTTGCCAATCACTCGCTAATCCTTGACATTATGTTAGTCAATTAAATTAGAATTGAATTTGCCGTCACAAAGAAACGAGAAGGTTCTCATTTGAACCAAAATCAATTATCTCTACTTGTTAAATCCTTTCAACTCTTTTCGAATTTTCAAAGGCAATAGTGACATATGTCAAAGCTTGTCAGAATCATAAGATACACTTGTTTAAAGGATGGTACTATGTAAGTGTTTTGTTCCTGTTTGAATATGTTATACCAAATTGTGTTTCAGCTATATCATGTTTTGCTTTGATAGCAACTGAATTCATGTTAAATCTTTACGGGAATTTTGGAGGAATTTCACGACTGTTAAATATCCCAATATATATAATGCAGGCGTTCTCGAGCTTTTTAAATCATGGGACCAGTTTACTCTCCCGTAGTCACTGTGAACGAATTCCTATCCACACTGAACATATATGACATCTTACAGTGTAGTTTGAGCACCCCTGTCAGAATGCTATAA